ATGGTGGTTGATAATGGGGGAGGGTTCTTGAAGAAGGTGACTTCTGGACTGTTTTTCTCAGGTGCAGAGGAGGAGAAACAGGGCAGGGCCTGTGAACATGAAGGATATCAATTAAGGTTCTGATCAGTTAAGAATAAAGAGAGAGCCCTGGCTGGTTTTCTCAGTGGTTAGAGCGTTGGCCTGCGGTTCCGAGAGACCTGAGTTCGCTTCCACTAAGGGCGCGTACCTCGGTTACAGTTTGTCCCTGGCCCTGGTTGGTCGTGCGGGTGGCAGCCACTTGATGTGTCCCTTTCACATCGATGTTTCTCTCTCTCCCTCCCGCTCTGTCTGAACAAAAAATGAAAAAATGTCCTCGGGTGAGGATCAAAAAAAAAAGAATTAAGAGAAGGATAACTGGTTAATTTAGCATAGTTTCTCCATTTGATAAAATATAGGAAAAACAAGCACTTTATAGAGAGGCGTTGTCTTGTTTTCAAAGTATTCTTTAAATTGTGACGGAAGACATGGCTAAACGTTTTAGGATATAAAAGGGATAAACACAGACTGGCCTTCCGCACACCGGTCTGACGTGCAGGGAAAGGTTGCTTTTGCAGCTCATGTTGGTCATGCTGATTAGTTGCTTAATCTGATTACTGTTCTTTGTGTTCCATATGTCAGATTCGTGGCTTGAAACCCAGTCCTGATATTCTAGCTCCATTATAATTAAATAGTTCATAAAATAGGGAGGGTTTTCAGGCACTGAGGGCTTTCAATAACAATGGGGTAGATTTTGGTAGATTTCCAAATTATTAAAATTAGTGATGCTGGAAGTGGGAGTATTAGCTGTTTGTCAGAATGGGGGTAATTCACATTCTCCTTCCCTAACCCCAATTTCTGCTTATAGTGAGAGAAGTTATAGAGAGGAAAGGGTTAATACTGTAAATGGTTTGAAGGTGGAGGAAAGGCTAAAAGCCACTGGCTTAGATGAAAGGTAGGGAATCAGGGCTCCCTAATGAGTTATCTGTGAGTAGTTTGTTGAGACAATGATCTGGTGATCCAAGCCAAAAAACATCTTTCTGTATGATTATCTAATTTACTTCCTCTGTGGGGCCGTGGAGACTTAGCCACACTTAATCTTTTGATTCTGTACCCTGTGGAGCAGTTCATTTTATGATTTTATATTCCTGCTGAATTATACAGATTATATTCCCACTTGGGTACTTGGTCCCTAAATCTCCCTAACCTGCTGAAATCTATCCATTTCGCTGTTCTCTTACATTTTTCCTTCCTGTTATTGTTAAATTCTAAATAAACTCAGAAGAGTAGATTCATTAGCCAGAGTGAGTATTGGTGGCAATTAGGAAGTGGCATTCGGAATTATCTGGAGATGTAATTCCCTGAACTAATAGCAACAGCCTAACCGAAAGCCTTATGGGAGGGAGGAGGGGAGGAAACAAAGTGATGTGATTGAAGTTGATGTAATGAGTATTTGCTGGTTCTAGGCAGTGCCACTCTGCTTTCTGGGCTCTCTTGCTCACTTTGAAGGAGATTCAAGGGGAAGTTTAAATTTCATGTGCCATAGCTGGGAGTTCCTTCTGAGCTCTGAAAAGGGAAGTAATAGAGAGTTGAGTGCTTTCCATTCATTATGTAACTGCTTTTATAGAGAAATTCTGTGTGATTGATAACTCCTTGTCCAAGGTGCTACCACCTTACACTTCATTAACAATAATAGTCCAGATGAAAGAACTCTGAAAATTATTACATTTTTTAAAAGTGCAAGGTTTTATGCTACAAAGTAGGCACTATTACTCCAATGTGAGAGGAGGACTAGGTAACGGAGGTCACATGACTTGTTCAAGGTCATGCAACTAAATGACCCCCTGAGGATCAAGCCCAGGTCTTCTGACTCTGGGTATTTTCTGCTCAACTGTGTGCATATCCATGGAAATAATTAGCTAGGCTAGGTGAACCTAACTTGTGATTCTCTAGGTGGGTGGATTAATTGAAATCACAAAACTATAATTGAGAGAGATCCAAAGATGTAAATCCCAGTGATTTTTTATGTTTTGCCTTATCTTCAAATTACAACATCCTGAGTCTTTGCTGTCACAATCCTGCTGCTCCGAATGGACCTCCAGACTAGCTCTCTCTGGCCTTGGTCTCCCCATGCCCACAATAGTCTGCTTTTCAGCCTTGCTGTGATCTTACATTCTCAGCTGTTGACCCAGAATGTCTAGGTTCAGATATTGCCTGTACACCTTGAACTCAGAGTTTTCTCATCTGTAAAAGGAGATGATGATATACCTACCTCAAAGGGTTGTTGTAAGGATTAAGTTCATTAATACATGGTAAGTGATCAATAATGTTAGCTGCTGTTGTCTCTATGTAGCTAGAGATATTTGTATGTAGGATTCTGTCATTTATGTATTTCTGAAAGAATTGCAAAGCATCAGTGAGGAAAGTGTTCAGTGGAATTGATGATAAAATGTTGAGTATCATTGGCACTCAGTAATTTCCAGAATGACTTTCTTCAGTAATTTTCTCTGACTTTCTTTTTTTTTTTTTAACTATTTTTTTATTGTTGATTTTAGAGAGAGAGGAAGGGAGAGGGAGAAAGAGATAGAAACATCTATGAGAGAGAACATCGATTGGCCGCCTTCTGCATGTCCCCCACTGGGGATTTGGCTCACAACCTGGGCACGTGCCCTGACCGGGAATCAAAGCAGCGATCTCTTAGTGCATGGGTCGACGCTCAACCACTGAACCATACTGGCCAAGCACTCTGACTTTCTTTTTATTTTTTGGTATGTGCCCCTAGTGGGAACTGAACCCGGGACTCTCTGGTTTGCAGGCCAAAACTCCAACCACTGAGCCAAACTGGCCAGGGCCACTCTGACTTTCTTATCTCTCATGTGTTCTTCTTTTCTCCTCTCCATCTAAGTCATCTCTAACTGGTTCATAAATTGAGTATAGCATTTAACATATTGTGTTGTAATTCACTGGATTATGCTTTTCCCCCAAAGCATGCTTTCAGCACCTACCAGAGTGCCAGGGATGCCTGGAGACTCTTGTGGAATCAATGTGTTCTCTGCTTCACTGCTTTAGGCCTTGTCTCCATCTTTCATTCATGCAACCTCACCCGCTTCTACATCTTCTCATCCTCTAGGCCTCTCATTTCTTCTCTCACCTTCTCATTTCACATCATTTTCCTACATGCTTTTGACCTGTGTGGTAAATTGTAAATGTATTCCCGAGGGACCGTGGAATGAGACAGAGAGAGAAGGCCTTCATCAGAGAACAGAGCGCCTGAGGCTCACCTGTTGGTCTCGTTTTCACACTGGGGGAACCTTCCTGCCCTCGGCAGAATAGCAAGCATCTCCTGTAGTTGTTTTCTTTTCCGTTTCAAGCACGGCCTACAGTCACCTCTGGTAAACTATTTTCCCCTTTCTATATGGAACTTATCTTAGGTCTCTCCTACACTTTACCCTTCAATCCTGCCTTATTATTTCCAACTCATTGTTTTTTATCCTCACCTGAGGACTTTTTTGCTCAGATAGAGTGGGAGGGAGAGAGAGAGAAACATCAACGTGAAAGGGACACATTGAGTGGCTGCCACCTGCATGACTAACCAGGGCCAGGGACAAACTGCAACCGAGGTACGTGCCCTTAGCTGGAACCAAGCCCCAGTCTCTCTGGACCATAGGCCGACGCTCTAACCGCTGAGCCAAACCGGCCAGGGCTCCAACTCATTGTTTTATCACCAAGATGCACTGGCAAGAAAAAGCTCTGGTTCTTTGTGTAACCTTGAGCAAATTACGTGACATCTCTGAATTTGTTTTATCTTAAAGTGGATAATAACACTTACCTGCCTCTCTCAGATGGTTGTTCGGAGACTCAAATGAGATAGTAGGTCAACAGACATGTATTCACAGAAGCAGAAGAAAGAACAGGCGGGGTCACTTCTGTCATCTCATTTCCTGTATCAGTATGTTTCTCTAAGTGTGGACTGTGGGAAAGCTGTACTTTTCCTAGGTCTTTCTTATGCACAGTGGAGCTGAAAACCTCCAGTTGCGATGTATTCTTAGTTGCTGGTTTGTGTTTGGTTCAGCTGATTAATAAATATTCTCTAAAGCCCAACCTCAAGGGCCCTCACTTGCTAGCCTTTCTTAGCTTCTGTCTCTCATGTTCCTACCATGTTCCATGCTAAAGAAATTTCTTATCCTTGCATGGTGACCAGATGGTTTACACATTACTTGCACACAAATAATTCTTAAAAAAATATTTAGAGTATTATTTTTGGATTTTAGAGCTGAAGAAAGCAAGGCAAGAAATATATATTTTTTCCTTTCCTATTTCTGTTTCTAAGTAGATTCCTCAATAAAACATGCTCAGGTATTCAACAGAGGCTGCTGAATGTAGACACATATGTGTAGAAGTCTGATATTTTACCAATGGATTTCTATTTAATTTGGACAGAAAAGAACCTGAGTTATTAGCACCTGCCACTTATATATATTACATCTCAAAATTTCTCAGAAAACATTACAGTTAGAATAAATTTATTATCTTCAGCCACTAATTCCATTATATTTATGTGAAACAGAAGGGTTTATGGTATGTAGGTTTTCCTTTTCCTCCCTAAGTGATTAAAGTCTGATGTTTTAACCACCACGAACTTATTTTGAATATAAAGAAATGGTGTTTTTTTTGGTACAGTTGTCAAATTAGTTTTAATTTGGGGAGATACTGTCCATTAAACAAGCAGTTAAGATATCTTCTCTGTGCTCTAAATGAGGTTAGAGTATTTAGAATTTTCTGATCGTAGAAAATTTATCACTCTTCAGAGTATATTAGTTTTACAGAACTCCTGAGAGTACTTGTGGAGAAAAATTAAAGTTAATATTTGGATTTTTATTGAGTGAGTTTGAGTTCACCTACAAATACTTGGTTAGTCATTAAGACTTTTTATTTTAGAAACTGTATTTTAAAAAATTTTTTACAACCTTCTTAATGCTTCCCAGGAACCAGATCCTGAATTTCCAGTATCTCAGGTAAAGGTTTAGCTGCAACCTTTAGTTTAGATAATACTTTAATTATTATTGCTTAGTTTTTGCTGTAGATTAGAAAATTTGCTGCATATCTACCTGCTGTGTTATAAAATTAGCCATATCTACTAGGCATTCTGTACCTTCTTATGTAAACCATTGTATTTTTAACACTTTTATGTCTGTGGGTGGGCAGCTTTGTAGAACTCATGTAGTCTGTTTGCTAAGGCCTGGAGCTTACATAGAAATTACCAATAATGACCAGAGGATGAGAAAAATAAAGGAAGCAAGGGGAACCAGGGGCTTAGAAAGGGAGCAAGAAGTTAGAAGAGCCACAGGTGTCTGAAATGACTGTGAAGGATAGGACACGTCTTGAATAGAGTAGCCCAACTCTGCTTCAGAAGGTCTTCGTTATGGACTGAGATGCTTGTCACGGTGAAGAAGAAAGGAAGGGACACTGGCCAGACAGCTATGTCTACCAAATCACCTTGGTTCGAGGTAGGAGGTGGTCAGAAAGGCCTGTGAGCTGGATAAGACATAGCAAAGGGGGGCTAGAGGAGGCCTGGTTAGGGAACCCCAGGCCAGTGAAGCTCTTAGCCCACGTGGGTTTCCAGTAAGTCTGAGAATAAGGAGAAGAGAGGAAAGAGCTGTAAATCAAAGAGCTTAAATATTTCTAGGTGTTTGCCCTGCCAAGTGAGAGAAAATTGTAAGTGTTTCTTAGATAGATAACCTTTTATGGGGTTCATCAAACCTTTTAGAAGAAAGCAAAACACAAAGTACTCTCATAGAGGCCTGAGAGTATATTAAACAAACACTGCAAATAGATTCAAATGCAGTACTCTGTTCTTTAAAAATATGCTATTTATCTTTGAAATGTTTATAACTATGATTTCCAAATCGATAGATGGTGCAAAACTATTTTTGCATAAGATGTACAATAATATGTATGTGTAATGGAAGGACCTCAATTACAGAGTAAGTAATGTGCTTGTTGTTTTCAGTATTTTTGGAAGATTTTGATTAAAATTAAAACATCAATAATTTGCATTGTTGGTATGGTTTTAGAACTGTAAATGGCATTTGAAAGTTTCAAACTAGCACAAGGGCTTCTTGAATGATTTGTACTTAGCATTACTTTCCTGTTATGTTACTGTAGACTTAGGTATCCATCGGATAGTGAGCTAAAGGAATAAAAAGGGAACAAGATTGACTGGATTCTTTTGAGCTCACTATTTACACTTTTTGCCTCTCTTCTTTTGCACATTTTTACAACTTCAAAATAAATGAGGCTTTACAATAATAATTCAATATTTTGTGCCTAAGATTTTATTTTCATAGACTAGTCAGTGTCAGATGTTACTGATTCTTATGATCTCAAAATCAGGTGAGACAGACTGTTCTTAATAATAACCTAGCAAAATTGTTTTTTACCTACTTTTAACTGCTGGCCTTGCATTCTGTATTAAGAGGAACAGAACAATTAAGACATGTTTCCCTCAGTCAGTTTACTTTTTACCTTTTCAAATGTTTATTTTTATAACTAGAATTGGATTAACCTCACAGAGGGTAGAACAAGTCAATATTTTCCTGATGTTAGCTGGCACATAACTGCTTCCAGAATAATATCTTGTAGTCTAACTCAGCAAATGAATGAGATAGGATCATGTTTCACAGATAAAAAGCACATGATTGATGTGATGATTACTCATTTAGATTGGGAGAATCTATGCTTTTTTTTTTTATAGAAAAGTTCCTATCCATCTATTATTTTTGTGGATTTCACAGTACTTCCAATGCATAGGTATTCAAATTATTTATATAAATTGCATGACCCTGTCATTTTTCAACAAGTTAAACATATCTGATAAAGCTAATTTATATTTTTATTCAGATTCAACAGGCAGTTTGGGATCACAGATTGTGCTTTATTTTGCATTTTATTTTAATCACTGATCAGTTTTGAGCTTAAAAATTTTTAAACAGGCAGAGGATTTTAGAACTGTAAAAGATACTTGGCTTTTTTCCAAAATAAAATTTTTAATTTTTTTAAAGCCAAAGCCCCATCTGCTGTTTTTTTAAAAATTAAAATCTCAAGAATTGTTCACATTGCCTAGAGCAGTTCTTTGAATACAACCTGATGTTTAATCCAGCAGTGATATGTTATTTTCAAGGTCATTTTTTGTTGGGATAAAGGAAAGTCAGGAAGATTAATATTCTCAAATACTGAGGAAATTTAAAATTTAATAATGGTTTAAGTAGATTTTATTACAGAGCTTTAAATATCAAAATTTCACATCACTATTTCTACTTCTTAAAATTACATTTTAGAAATTAAAACAAATAGAGCTCTATTTAATTTTTTGAAAAGGTGAATTCTTATGAAATAAAAAAAATTTTTTTAATGTTCTTATTTGGCTTCTGAAATATTTATTCATTTGGTGAGGGAGGGAGTAGTGGATTTACTTTTTTATATTTTCCTTAGCCTAATATAAAAAAAATTGCACCTCCTTAATATTTGAGAGGTTAGTAAGAAGATAGATATCAAGAAGCATGATGGATTGTACTATGAGATAAAGTCTGGACATGAAAATAATATAAAAATATGTGCATGGATAATTATTACCCAGCTATATAAATGATACTTTAACAAGAAAAACCTGGCTTTTAGAAAGTCGACTTAATGAAGTCTCCAAATTATGGTTTTGCTCCTCATTTATGGTTTTGCTCTTCATTTGCTCCTCCTCATCAGGATAAAAATTCATATACCTCACTGTGGCATACAGGGTCCATCATCTATGGGCTCCTGCCTTTTTCTCCAGTTTCTCTGACTGCTGCTTCAGCTGGACCTGATTCTTCAACCATGCTCAATTCTTTTGGAGCTGCCAAACTGGTCTGCTTCTGTCCTGTTGTGCTTTGCCTGGCACAAGCTTTCCAGCCTCTGCCACTGGGCCTCTCCTCCAACAGCTCCAGAATTTTGTTATTACACTTTCTCCATAACACTGAAATTCTCTTGTTCTGGAACTAGTACTGTGGCCTACTTATCTCTGTCCCCAGGACCTGGTAAGCAGTAGGTGCTGAAGAGTTAAAGATGGAAATGAACCACTTAACCAGCAAAGCCCACTTTCTTCTTTACCGGTCCAACAGAAAATGCTGCAGTCCTTCTTCCTGTCCACCAGAGGGTGCTGAGCAAAGAATGTCCAATTGAAGTCATCATATACTTGCAGGACAGCTAGTATGTGGGGACTTAAATCAGGATTACTTATTTCTGTCTTTGAAGTTAGATTAAATCACTAGTCTAAGCCAGTGATAACTTGCCTGACCCCTAAGAAAGCTGTATAGATCTGCCAACTTTTCTGGTGTTTTATGAGTGAAAACATCAGGTTGTTTCTACACAGATGAAGTTCCAATTGGAATTGATTTTTTTTTTTTTTTTTACAAACAAATTAGTTTTATAAGTCCATATTCTGCTAATTCAACTATATTAAATTTACACATAGCATTTGAAACATTTTATTCTACCTTATTTGATGAGAATCCAGTAAACCACAACAAGAGAAGTACAAACCAAAAAAACCAATCATCTAACAAATGTAATTTCACTCTAAGGGCCTAAATATATTGTGAAGATAGTCTTCTTTATCCCCATTAGAATGAAAGCATGAAGATTTTCATTAAAATTGTTTTCAATATATGCATTCCGATTACTTTAGTCCACAAAGAGATCTCTACTTTCTAATTCCGATAAAACTATTTTCCACACCGCACACTTGAACTGCTTTGCCTTGGCATATATTCCAATAGATGATGTGTTCAGGGAAATTAGGATACAGGTTTTATTCTTGTGTTTCCTTCTCAGAACCTAGCCCAATGCTATATTTAGGAGCCCAGTGCTATATCAATAGACGTGGACTGACTGACGGAGTGCATGTGGGTTCCTATGTGAGCATATTTTGGACCTGTTGTAGCTCTCGTGTGTTCCCTCTCAGTCCCTTTGCCTTCCCTCAGCAGGCTTCACAGGCAGACCCCCGGTATAGTGAGCTCTAATCCCACCCCAAGTTTCCCTTGCTGCTGCTTCCACTGTAGAGTCAGCTCTGTGCTGCTTCTTCAAGACTTGCCTTCCTCCCATATTGCCCACAGGACACCAAGCTTTATTGTTCTTTGCTTCTATTCTGTAGTGAAGCAGAAAGGTAAACATTTCTGATCAAGTACTTTCAAGTGTTTAACAAGATATTTAATTGTGTACACCTTTACAGCTAATTCTCAAGGTAAAGCAAAGCTGATAAGATATTTTCCAGATTCCTTAATTACTCCCCCCCCCCCGCCCACTTTCTAGCAGGTTTTGTCCTGGCTTGATCACAAAGCAACCAAGAGTGTGTTGATTAGTTATTGGGAATTGGGAGAAATTGATCTTAGTTAATTCAACATTTTTGGAATACCTGTTGTGTACAAGAACCATAGGCATTATGGAAAATAAAAAAGTGAACCAGGTAGCCCTGGCCGGTTTGGCTCAGCGGTTAAAGCATTGGCCTGCGGTCCAGAGAGACCCGGGTTCGGTTCCCGCTAAGGGCACGTACCTCGGTTGCAGTTTGTCCCCGGCCCTGGTTGGGTCGTGCCGGTGGCAGCCACTCGATGTGTCCCTTTCGCATCGATGTTTCTCTCTCTCTCTCGCTCCCTCCCACTCTATCTGAACAAAAAACGAAAAAATATCCTTGGGTGAGGATTAAAAAAAAAAAAAAAGTGAACCAGGTAGAAAAGCTTGTGTTCTCGGGAAGGGAGGGCTAACCTATGCCCAAATGATTATAGTGTTTGTTGAATATGGTAAGTACATAATAATAGAAGTATAAAGAGAATGGTCTGTGAGACAGACAAGAAGAAAATAGGTTTAGAGTTGAACTCCCAGGGAAGTCGTTGTGAAGGACTTGGCCCTGAAAGAAGAAGGCGGAAGGAGCATGGTGATTGTATCGTTATCATTTGTTTTCATATTATTAGTCTACTAAAATTTTCTCCAAAGATCTTTTATTTATCAAAAGGCATGTTAGAAGACCGTCAGATAATTGTCACACTTTTTTTTATTAGGTAATTGGTATGTTGGTTATTTCGTGATAAATAATGACCTTTTCTTCTTCTTTTAGTTTCTCGACATAGCCCTTTAAATTAGTATAATGCATTAAGTGGTAAACATGCTTACTAAAAAATTAGAGAATAATAAACGATGGCTGGCTTCTACAGGCTTCCCAGTACTTCTAATGATGTTTAATATATGCTTTATTTTATCCATGCTTTTTAGGCAGCTTGGATTTTAAAAGCACGAGCACTAACTGAAATGGTATACGTCGATGAGATTGATGTAGATCAGGAAGGAATTGCGGAAATAATACTAGACGAAAATGCTATTGCTCAAGTTCCACGTAAGCATTGGTTTTTCAGTGAAGTAAATGAAATGCCATTAGGAGGAGGACATCTTGCGTTTACAAAATACGTAGTCGGGTGGTGCACGTTTTAAAAGTTCTTGTGGCATACCGGTTGAACATCGCTGCTGTAAGCCTTTGCTAAATGGGTTAATACTACCTACCTGACAGACTTAGTGTGAAGATTAAATATGATTACATAAGTAGCACGATAGATAGATAATAAATATTAATCTCAAACATTTCCCCAAAATGTATCTCTCTCTTGTCATTAATGTTTTCACCAGGCCCACACATTTCTGAAAATTTGTTAGCTGACGGTTTTTACAGTTAGTAAATAATATATAAACTGAATTCACTGTCTCATCTCATAGGTCCTGGAACATCCTTGAAAATCCCTGGAACTAATCAGACGGGAGGGCCTAGTCCAGCTGTCAGGTACGTACTTCTGTTTCATGCCCTCTGTTACTAAATATTGACCAGTCTGTTTGAGAATCTTCCTTCATTGATCTTCTTTGTATTTTTTAACAATTTACAATCGCCACAGGCCTGTCACTCAAGCTGGAAGACCCATTACAGGTTTCCTGAGACCCAGCACACAGAGTGGAAGGCCAGGCACTATGGAACAGGCCATCAGAACGCCCAGAACTGCCTACACGGCTCGCCCTATTACCAGCTCCTCTGGGAGATTTGTCAGGCTGGGAACGGTAAGTTCTGCCAGCTTCACCATAGTCATAGCCTTGCATCACCAAAATAACATTATAGTACAGCATTTTACACTGTTCTTATAATGGAGAATTATATGGAAGATTTTTAAAGGTGATTCTTTCTACTTGTGTGCCTTTATAATTTTTATGCATAAATCTTAATTTGTGTTTCAAGAGAAGGTTTTCTATTTCTTGTTTTATCATTTTTTTTCCATAGGCTTCCATGCTTACAAGCCCTGATGGACCTTTTATAAACTTATCTAGACTAAATTTAACAAAATATGCCCAGAAACCCAAATTGGCAAAGGTATGTACTTAAAATTACTTTATGTTAGGAAGTAATGTTAGAAGTATTATTGTAATAACATTGTAGGAAATGGATAAACATTTGTGAAGGAAAGGCCATGTTTTGATTGAGATGGATATGTTTAATTACTGTAATGTATAAAATTCCTCCTGGTCTGGAGTTAAGGAAAGTCAATCAGAAATAAAGTATGTACAGTGTACCATTATTATAGGAAATTCTTTTTTTTCTTTATAAAGAACAGTAATTTACAGCAAGGAAGGCAGATATGCAGCAGCATCTTCAGGGAGTGAAGCTTAGGAGGTCATCTGTATGTGTGTGTATTTTTTTTTTTCTTTTCAGCTTGGCTGATTCTCAGAAAAATAATTTTCTATCCTTGAGGGTTTTAGGATTGTCAAAAAGAAGATAAAAAACATGTACTTCTTCTAATTAGTAATTAATCAGGCATCTCAATAAGGATTACTCAAGCCAGAGAGTGGCAAGCCAAGTTTATTAGTAATTCTAACTACTCAAAGATTAAATGCTCCTTTAAATTAAGGAGGGAGGGAAGAAGGGGTGGGGGGGAGAGAGAGAGAGAGAGAGAAAGAGAGAGAGAGAGAGAGAGAGAGAGAGAGAGAGAGAGATTGAAAGAAAGGTGTGCATGACCTTTCCAGTACAAAAAAAAACTTGCAGGTGAGCATGGAATAATTCAGTTAGGAGCCCTTATCTTCTGGATGCTGGTTGAAGCCTAGCCCCAGTTTTTAACTGTAATCTCTGTGAATTCTGTACATGAGTCCTGAGCTTATTCCTAATCTCAGTATTAATGGCATTTAGCATATTTATTAAATATCAAACACTCTAGGAAAAACTGAAATGGACACGAGCCCTACAGAGTTGAAGTTCAAATCAGGAAAAGAAATGCTAGTTAGTAGACAGAAAGGGAATCAGATTACAATAATGCTGGTGATGTGTTCTTAATGTCTTATTTGACAGCAATCCAGTCAACTTAATTTAGCAGAATCGTGAAGCTTTTCTCATTTCTCATTCCTCTGTGAGAGTGGAGTATGCAAAGCAGCCTGTATGGAACATCTGGTTCCCTTCCTTTCTAGGCCATTGACTTGAGGTGGCTGGGTGGCTAGTTGATACCGGCGCTGCTTTCTAACCAAGGCGGCAGTCAGTGGAGGCGTTTCCCTCAGTTAAATGATGATGCTTCCAGGACAGACCTGTCTGTATCACGAGATTTAGACTGAACTAATTTTGCACTTTTTTAGTGGGTTGTAGAAGCAATGCCAGGTTTTTCTATCCTTGGTCCCCAGCTTGCCTTGACTCCTCAGACCTCATTTCTAATACTGGCATGTTGCTTGGGGTGTCTGTGGTGACTCCCTGACCCTGACACTGTCTTAGGTGTTGTAACATCTTTTTCATGGCAGTGGTGGCACCAAATGCACCCTTAATTTTTTTTTTTTCTGTTTAACAGAACAAATGGAGGGTTAAGTACAGTTTTTAAAAGAAAGACCTCCTAATATTTGTTTTGGCTATTTCCAAGACTTCTCTGTTAATATCCTTTGTATCTTCCAGGCGCGCTAGCCTCTTTGCAAGTGTAAATAATGTTATTATGGACACATGTAGTACTACCAACAGATGATCCAGTAAATACTTACTTATCCAGATGAGTTGGGTGAGGGATTAAAATAATGGTTCTCAGCCCTGGTTGTACATTAGAATCATCCAAATATAAGCAAAAAACAGCCTACTTTATACTTAAACTCTACATTGTTTTGGAAGGAACAGCCATATTTTCCTATGTCTAAAGTATCATTATTAATAGCGTAATCACTGTGTAATATATGTAAAGTGTGTAAAAAATGGGGTGAATCTGTTTTATGGCAGTCCTAAAGTCAGTTTTTATATTTGTCTCTTTCTAATAAAACAGTATGTATAATATGAAAAAAAAATGTTCAGTTATTTGAGCTTTCCAGTTTGTGTTCTATAAAAACAGGAATTAGTTATAAATAGCCATATTTTAAAATGGGTGATTGTGACAAATGATGCATAGACCCATTATTTATAAATCGCAGGCACTTTCTTATTTTGGTTCAATCTAGCTGTTGTCAAAACTGCCTTTGAGTTTTGATATAATAATAAAGTGCTTTTGTTAAAATAAAATCTAATGCATTTTTGGCTTTTTTTTTTTCTTTCATAGGCTTTGTTTGAGTATATCTTTCATCATGAAAATGATGTTAAGACTGTAAGTTTTGCATTCATGCTATTTTCTTTTATTGTAAGTTTTCTGACTTTGGGGATTTAGATTCTGAAACATTCTGCTTCTTACCTTCCTTACCTTATAAGCAGATGGAATGATAAAAGCTTGGAGAATTACTAATACTTTCTAATCCACTGTCAGTTTCAATAGAAAAATGTGTGTAAACATAGAAGTGTTAAGAACTGTGCCTGATCCTTAGAGTACATAGATCTCCATTTATGGGCGAGATATAGATCACTGAGAATACTATCTAATGTTTGTGTTAAAGTTTATTTTCTTTAAAAATATTTTTTTTTCTTTATTGATTATAGAGAAAGAGGAAGGGAGAGGGAGAGAGCGATAGTAACATTGATGACAGAGAACATTGATTGGCCGCCTCCTGCATGCCCCCCACTGGGGATTTGGCCCATAACCTGGGCATATGCCCTGACCGGGAATCGAACTGGTGACCACTTGGTGCATGGGTCGACGCTCAACCACTGAGCCACACTGGCCGGGCTTGAAGTTTATTTTCTATAGTCAGCATTTTTTATCTATTTTTTCTTTAACCCATATAGTGTATTAAAATAGGTTTACTAATACATCTATTTCTTGTTTCTTTGTATAGCACTCCCTATCCCCATTAACATTTTATGATACGAATTTCAAACATACATGCAACCAAAAGAGAAAAAAAAGAAAAATCAAACAACCCTTAAAAAAGAAAAGAAAATTTATGCAGCCATTAAAAATCATAATTATAGGGGTTGGGCTGGTGTGGCTCTGTGGTTGAATGTCAGCCCATGCACCAAGAGGTCACTGGGAATGGCACATGCCCAGGTTGTGGGCCGATCCCCAGTGGGGAGATTCAGGAGGCAGCCAATGGATGTTCTCTGTCATCGATGTTTCTATTTCTCTCTCCCTTTCCCTTTCTCTCTCTCTAAAATCAAATATTTTTTTAAAATTATAATTATAAAAACTAGGTAGGAACATGAAAAGTGTTTATAATGTTAAGCCAAGCAATTATACCATTTAGGCCCTGGCTGGTTTGGTTCAGCAGTTAGAGTGTTGACTCATGGACCAGAGAGTCCCAGGTTCAGTTCCCGCTAAGGGCACGTACCTCAGTTGCAGTTTGTCCACGGCCCTGGTTTGGGTCGTGTGGGTGGCAACCACTCAATGTGTCTCTCTCACATCGATGTTTCTCTCTCTCCCTCCCTCTCTCCCTCCTACTCTATCTGAAGATGAGTGCAAAAATGTCCTTGGGTGAGGATAAAAAAAAAAAAGTATACCATTTAGTATATTAAATAGAATTATAACTCTAAAAAGATATATTTATGATGGATTCTAGAAGGTGTTACCTGGAAATAATACTATTAGATGTTAAGATGTATTAATTCTACAAACATTTGTTGAATATGTACATTGTGCCAACAGCTTGGATTACAACGGTAAATAAAAAGTTATTCATGGTGGTACTAAAGGAGATTAATTCTAATTTACCACGCCCTCAATTCTTAATAATAATGTTATAGCAACTTTTCATTTATAAATTCAGCTATAAGTGAGGGGCAATAAAAAATAGAATGCTTATAGTCATACCTGCTGATTATTTTCATCTGCTTACCCTCAATACATATACACTGTTTTAAAGGACATGTAATTAAGCAATTTGTTTTGTTTTTATTTAGTATAAAGGGCATATTGTTGGTTTCTCTGTTTTCCTTTTTATCCTTAGTTTACTTATTGATTTGTTGTTTTATTAGGTTATTCTTTGAACAGGTAATTATTGAGTGCCTATGTATTGGTACTATGATGTGTGCTAGGAGTACTAAGAAAGACAGAAGCTGTATCTATTTCCTACTGGTATGGGCTTGCCACATTGTAATTCTGTTATGGATCAGATTGTTCCATTAAAATGTCATGTTAGATTTTCTCACAGACTGTTATTTTCTGAATGGAAGAAGAATTTAGACAATGAACAGAAAGCATTCGTTTTTTGAAAATACATTTTGTATATTTTGTAACTTAGCTGGAAAAATAAAAAAGGAATTCTATTTTTCAACATGCTGAAGAAATCAGAGGTGCTTTTATACTGGTTAGTTGGGGTGGTCTCCACATTTCTTTGTAAATAAATTATTTCACACAAGTGTAGAGAATATTAGACAAATATAGAGAATACTGTAAAATGATATTGCAATGTTAAGAACAAATCAAATTGATCTTCTGTGGAAAACTGTTTCTGTCTTTGAGTTCTTAGTACTCTTTCCATTTGTTGGGGGAGGCCAATATTAACAAAACTGAGGTGGCGTGTGGGTGGGTGATTCGGTATTTGTCTATAAACCGATACAGAGAATACCTGTAGATAACTATAGAAAATACCATGAAGTGACATTTCAATGTTGAGAAAAAGTGAAGTTGATTAATGGAAAACTATTTCTGCCTTTGAGTTCCTAACATCTTCCCTCACGCCGCTCCCCTTGGGGGCAATATTGGCAGTATTAATAAAATTAAAGCCCTGGCTGGTTTGGCTCAGCAGTTAGAGTGTCGGCCTGCGGTCCATAGAGACCCGGGTTCGGTTCCTGCTAAGGGCATGTACCTCGGTTGCAGTTTGTCCCCGGGTTGTGCGGGTGGCAGCCACTCGATGTGTCCCTTTCACGTCGATGTTTCTCTTTCTCTCTTCCTCTCTCTCCCTCCCACTCTATCTGAACAAAAAATGAAAAAATGTCCTCGGGTGAGGATCAACAAACAAACAAACAAACAAAAAACTAAAGTTGGTGGTTAAGGAATCTTTATTTCCATATGTTCTTTAATTTCTTCATCTTCAAGTTGTCGCAAGTATAATAATAGTGAAAGGATGACTGCTTTTTTAAACATTAGTGGTTTGGAGCACTGTTAGGAAATCCACTGGGAGGCCAAGTTGGACATTTTCACAAACATTAGATCTGCCCAGAACTCTGCTATAAACTTATGGCCTTCGTTTATGATATTCTGAGCCTTTAATATCAAGATTCTGTATTGATTGAATTATTCGAAGATCCTTAAATGTAAGTATGTAGTCATTTATTTTTAAGGGGCTTTCGACTAGTGGTTGCCAGAGGGGAGGAGGTTTGGAGCACTGGGTGAAAAAGGTGAGGGGATTGAGAAGTAAGATTGGTAATTACAAAACAGTCATGGGGATGTGAAGTACAGCTGAGGGAATATAGTCAGTAAACTGTAATAACTGTGCATGGTGCCAGGTGGGGACTGGAAGTATCGGGGGAGCACTTTGTAAATTACATGATTGTCTAACCACCATGCTGAACACCTGAAACTAACATAAAGTAATATTGAATGTAAACTGTAATTGAAAAAAAAAAAATTGGGGCTTTAGAGAGATATAGATTTTCTGTCACTTTAAAAATTTTAAATATTAATACGAATCTTATTACTATGACAGTTTGTTTTGTACTTAAGTTATTTTCAACATAAATTAGGAACAAAGAAAAGAATTAATTAAATCAACGAATAATTGTTTAGTGCCTCTTAACAGCACATCAGTGAATCAGGAGAACAACAATGGGGACTGAGGGCCCATCTGAAGTTGTCATGGATGCTTTTGTCTAGGGCAGTGTCAGTTTTCAGATGAAGAACGATCATTCAAATGTATAATTTTAAATTATTTTATTCTATATCAATTATTCATATTAATTTTCTTAATTGGTTTAGCACACACATAGGGATCCTACATAGGAAGACTTGTTTCAGGACCATAAGTGAGAGCAAACTCAGTAGCTTGTAATAGCACTAAATCTAACCTTGGAAAGTTAGAAAATGTAAAAATATTAGAATGACATATTTTTCTGAAAAAAACAACAAAAAAAACAACAACAACCAGAAGATCATTAGATTAAACACGGGAGTGAATATGACCTATTTGCTGGAAAAGGTCTTTATAAAGACTAAGTTAAATTAATATGTTCAGATATTTACAGTACACTCCTGAATTGAGGTGATTGAAAATGTTTTTCTAGTATTTCCAGGGATAATGCTAATTGAGGTTATAGTCTCCCCCTCATTTTTGCTTCCATGTTTATTTCTGACTTGAGGGAAAAATAGAAAAATAAGCGTAAGAAAGTTGTATGTGTCTTGGTTTTAAATGTTCTTAGCTTTTGAGTAGAGATGTTGATTTTTCAAGTCTATTAGGACACCAGCATGGTGACGCCATTTTTTCCTCTAATAAATAGTTTGCATATTTACAAGTGTGCCCTGGAGCAAGAGAAGGTGGGGAACAGAGAGAAGTTACGAGTTTGCAGAAGGAGCTCCAAGAGATGTTTCTGTCACTCATTTCAGAAAAAGGTTAATATTAAGAAATGGACAATAATACAGGATAGTTCTGAGATAATAGAACTGAAAATCTGAGTTATTTTTTTTATTTTTTTATTTTTTTAATCCTCACCCGAGGACATTTTTCTATTTTTTGTTCAGATAGAGTGGGAGGGAGAGAGAGGAAGAGAGAGAGAGAGAAACATCGACGTGAAGGGACACATCGAGTGGCTGCCACTCATACAACCAACCAGGGCCAGGGACAAACTGCAACTGCGGTACGTGCCCTTAGCGGGAACCGAACCCTGGTCTCTCTGGACCGCAGGCCAATGCTCTAACCGCTGAGCCAAACTGGCCAGGGCGAAATCTGAGTTATTTTAACTGAATTGTTGGCTATCATGATTATACTAACACTGTCTAAAGAATAGAAGTTTTTCAACCTTCAGAGAAAGAATAGTAAGTATTACTTAAAAAATCAGAATTCTCTTTTAACTAATAACTTGAGTTTTTTTCACCAAGTCTTTACATGAGCTTCAAATTTCTATGAGCTTCAAATTTGTGTAAAGATTGATTTGCTTTTCTCTTGTCCAAATGCCTTCTACTTCCTCTGTATAAAATTATAATTCCTATTTAGTCATTTCTTGTCAGATCTTGAATAAACACTAAAGGAACACACTAGAAGACATGAGAGAGATGGGAGAAACACATGTAAAATATGAAAGCAATTAAGGAGATGTTTTTCAGTCTGCAGCAGAGGAAAGTCTGACCCTTAGAGTTCACTGGAATGCAAGGTGATGTCAAAATAATGGATTTGAAGATGGCCGTTACCCAAGCACCCCAGCTCCTTCATGATTCTATTTTCCAAACCTTTTTCTACCTGCTTCCTTGATCTTTTTCTATTTCTCTACATCTCTATTTAAAGTGCAGCCTGCAGCCCTGCTGGTGTGGTTCAGTGGTTGAACATCGACTCATGTACCAAGAGGTCACTGGTTCAATTCCCAGTGATCTGGGCACATGCTTGGGTTGTGGGCTTCATCCCCTGTAGGGGGCATGCAGGAGGCAACCAATCCATGTTTCTCTCTCTGTCTCCCTCTCCCTTTATCTCTCTTAAAAATCAATAAAAACATATTTAAAAAAACAGATAAATAAAGTGGAGCCTGCAATTAGACCAGGCTAACACACCAAAGGCTTGATTGCCACTGAATTTGGAGACATTTTGAATCACTTGATAAATGGTAGGGAGAAGGGACAACGTATAGATTTTTTAAAATATCAATTTTGTGCCTTGTATATTAATATTGTATTCAAATATGTTGTACATCTGCTTCCCTTTAATCAGTATTTACTTGTCATCTGCTGTCTGCCCTCTGGTCTGGAACTGATTATGTAGGGAAAATTGGTGGGGCCATCTGGAAATATGAGCATCTTGAGTTGCTGTCTGATTTCTAAAGCATGTTCTGACTGAGGTTAATTATATGGTTTATTTCATTATTTATTGTTTCTGTTTATTGTTAGAAGAGAAAATCCTAACCTAAAATGACTTGTTTTCCAAGGCTTTGGATCTGGCTGCGCTTTCCACAGAGCATTCTCAGTACAAGGACTGGTGGTGGAAAGTGCAGATTGGAAAATGTTACTACAGGTAAATCTTGGATTGTTTGTGAAGGGCTTAGAAGTGGCGACATATTTTAGAGTCTCGCATCTGATCATTTTTGGGGGAGTTTTCATGAAGAAATGAGAACTGCCTTCGGCTTACTTGAGAAAGCATTCACTTAGCAATCACATGGTGGCTCAAAGAACTGACACGTTTAGGACAGTAACAGTTTAGAGCTGGGAAGAGGAACCTTTGAGACCATCAGGTCCAATACCCTTCACAGATGAGGAAGCTGAGGCCAGAGAAAGGCTGGTGTCAGAAGCCTGTTGGTCACAGGCCTGGGACTAGAATCACGTCTGTCGATTCCCACTCCACCCATCTTGGCTCTCAAGTCTTTATTTCCACTGTTGCCTCACATCTGAAAAGTGCTTTACAGTTAGTTAAGTGATAGCTTGTCCATATGTTACATTATCTCACTTATATCTCAGAGCACCTTCGAGGTAGTTGCTATTATTAACCTTTGTCCAGATGAGAAAAACTGGGCCTCAAAAGGTAAAGTGACCTGCCCAAATCCATGCGGCTAGTATGTGGCAGAGCAAGTATTGAGCTCAGAGTTTTTGTTTTTGTTTTCCTTTATTGATGTTAGAGAAAGGAAGGGAGAGAGAGAGAAACATCGATGAGAGAGAACATCAACTGGCCGCCTCCTGCATGCCCTCCACTGGGGATCGGGCCCACAACCAGGGCATGTGTCTGATGGGGAATTGAACAGGCGCCCTCTTGGTGCATGGGTCGATGCTCAACTGCTGAGCCGCAGTGGCCAGACTGAGCTCAGTGTTTTGATGCTGGTTCTCTTACTATTTGCACAATTCCATAGTGTTTCTCTAGGATCTGAATATTCTTACATTAATTCATTTAATATTTACATTTTAAAGCTAATTAAGAGATCAGAAAAGTTGTGTCTAAGTTTATGATTATGATACAGCAACTAGTAAATAAGATCTGAAACTTGTTGCCTGATATTGAAATGCATTTGGAACGTTTGGAAAGTAAAGACAAATGGAAAATTATTTTTTATAAAGATAAATATGTCTTTTATTATTCAAAAACAAGGTAAATTGGTGACTGTGAACATCCTTCAATACTTATAAACTAGTTTCAGGCAAACACTGTGAGGGAAAGGAAATATATAAATGGAACCAAAGAGATGCTTTTTCTTTTACTTTCCAGCCCGGCTGGTGTGGCTAGGTGGCTGAGCATTGACCCATGCACCAAGAGGTCACTGGTTTGATTCCCAGGCAGTGACAAATCCCGAGTGGGGGGCATGCAGGAGGCGGCCAAGCAGTGTTCTCTCTCATTGATGTTTCTGTCTCTCTCCCTCTTCATCTCCCTTCCTCTCTCTCTAAAATCAATAAAGGAAAATAAATAAATAAATGACTACTTTCTATTTAGATATTTCACGTAGAACTCTAAAGTATTTTTCCTGCTGTTAGATTGAGGGAGTGCTTTCCACTAAAAGGTAATTTGAGACTATTATAACATTAAACTCTTACGAATATGGCATCCGAAGACAAGCTTGAAATGTTGAGCTTCTAAGTGAACCCTTCAGAAATCTTTAATAATTAAAGATAAGCACAACTCCAGTTCCTCCTGCCATCTATATCGGATGGCATTTAAATGAGTGTACTTTGTCATATTATCATTCTTCTCTGTTCCTTAATAGCTTCTCATCTTTATTATGGATATAGCATTCATTCATTCACTCACTCACTCAGTAAACTATTTAATGAGAAGCTACTCGGCCAGGCACTGGAGTAACAAATATCTATTAGATAGTTTCTTCCTACAAATGATAGTGTCTTACAGTTGAATGGAGAGAGAGGACCCTAAACAACAGTAAGCACAGTTCCCATTATGATAGAAGCAAGCGCAGGTGCAGTGGGACCCCAGAGAAAGAGCTCCTAATTTTGACTGGGGAGGTCAAGGATGATGTAGCCCCCAACTTGACTTCTGTCTCTTTGCTCTTGATCAGTTAGTTCTACTGGTCCTTTCTCTGCAGTAGCTTTCACAGTTGCTCCCTTACTACCCAGTCCCACCCCGTGCCCTCCTGGCATTCAGTATCATTTGTTTGAATTGTTACATTAGCTTATTATCTGAATGTCTTGCTGCTATTTACTTATTTTTTGCCCTAATCAGTCCTTCCTATATACTACTGTCTGAGCAACTGTTGTGAAAACACAGCCCTTGCTGGATTGTTTGGTTAATTTCCATTACCTTTAGGATGAAGTCTGGATTTAGGTGAGGTATCCACCATCTTGTCTCAGTCTGCATGTTGACCCATATCTCTCACGTCTCCCATTCCTTACTGTGTCTTCCTTTTCAGTTAAACCAAAACAACTTGGCATTCCCCTGCCATGCTGTGTACTTTCCCGCCTGTGTGCTCATTCGGATGGTTTGCTTCCGTCTGGAATGTGCCCCCACCCTCACCTCACCCTATGTGTCAAAATCTTCTGTCACTTCCTCCCTGAAACTATATTGGTTTGCTCCTCTTCTGTGCTCCCAGAGCACTTGCTGTTCTCGTTGCCATAACACTAAATTGACTTGTGAGCATGTCTTATTTCAGTCTTGATTGGTGCCTTCAGGACATGGTTGTTATCTTCCCTTTTGCATCTCCTTACCATCATGAAATGTGCATAGGGTTGCTGCTTGACATTTATTGAATTAAATTGCAGAGAAAAAGTTGGCAGTTGGTAGGGATTATCTCTGGACTCTGACTCTGATATTGGCCTGTGTTCATGAATGTGACTGATGTTTTCATTAGACTTTCTTTATACGTGGCCCACTCCATTTCCTTTGCGCACGAACCCATGTGGTAAATTCCTTTTTGATAGTACTAGAAGAAATGATCTCTTGAGGATGCAGTAATAAAAGACATATGACTCATCCTTCCTTTTCTTTGGTTTCCAAGTATCTCAATAGCTCGGGTTGCTTTTTTGTTTGTTTTTAAAATATGTGTATCCTTCAATCCCCATTTTTTTAAAATCTATTTTTGTTTTCATATTGTTGTCTAAATGCGTCTTTTTGTTATAATCCCTTTTAAATCATTTTTAGAAAGAGACAACTTACCAGATAAAAATATACAGACCCTGGTTGATAATGAGGTGTTCGTGGAAGTCAGTGATGAACTTCATGCACGTTTCAGACTTGAGTGTTTAGTTGAAGTTACTTATATAAATATGCTGTTTCCAGAACTTTTAGCATTCTTTGATAAAATTTTATAAATACTCCTTGTAAAAGTTGTGAGATCTTTGAAGAGGTAGGGGCTTCTGCTGTATCATATCCTCTACCTTGAGGCCAGTTTAGGGGGTTGCCACTTGTAACCCCTTTAATCCTGTGTCTTCCAACTGCTTTTTGGGGATAGCCACACCAATGCTTGAGGCTTAGGTTTGGAAAAAAGATCAAAGCTATTTTTTCAAGTCTTTAAATGAAAGTAGCACAGTGGAACATACTGTGTATTATCCTGACTTGATTTCACAAAATAAAAGCAATGTTTAAGTGCCCAAGTAGCTCTAAGGTGTCTGGGGATGAGTAGTTACAAGTAAGCTCATCAGATCTATTAAGGACCTGCTTATGTGTGCTTTAGTGACTGATGTAGTGGAGACAAAATGTTCCCTGGGCAGAAGAGATGGGCGCTGACATGAGGCCAGTTACAGTTAGGGAGGGAACAAATCTCACACTGGTAGATCAGGATAACCAGCATCAGATACCAAAAAAGGAAAAGAAAATGTTTTTAGAATAATAAAATGGTATAGCTATATACTCAAGTGGCAGTTACTATTTATATCTAAATTGTTGAATGGTTTTAAAAATGAGATTTTGTCTCAGAGCAAATGATGTTTTCCAAGAAATGTCATCCTTTAGCTCTTCCAGTAAAATAGAGATCTAAGCATTTATTCAGGTCACTTGCCATATGTCCAGCTGATCTTAAGCTCTTTGGGTGGTGAACTCATATGACCCGGCTCACCGGTAGCTATTAGTCCTGCTGTGACTAGGCTGCCAACAAACTCCACAGCATTTGAGGGGTAGATACACAGTGAATATGGGAAATAGGCAACCTTTTGCTAAACTATATAAACTACATGTTAATATTCATGTATGTGTGTGTAGGACATTGCCTTCTTTAGTACATGTTTACTCTTATAAGTACAATTCATATCCTCAAGTTGTGAATGCATGCTATAGTATTTATTTTTAAGATGGATGCCTAATTTTTTTAATGGTTATTCTTAGGTTAGGAATGTATCGTGAAGCAGAAAAACAGTTTAAATCAGCCCTGAAGCAGCAGGAAATGGTAGATACATTTCTCTACTTGGCAAAAGTAAGTATTCCTAATCTGAGTGAAATTTGTCTTAGAATAACTGTTTAGATTCTGGCCAACTCATGGAGAGAGTTGCCAGTTTCTTCAGGAATAGTTTGGCAAGTTAATATGTTCAGATTTAACTTTTTTTTTTTTAAACAAGAGAAAATGTTAGACCATATGCAGAATAACCATTTCAGGAGAAATTGATTGCTATGAAAAATAAGAAAACCCCTTTGAAAGATTGCCTTTTAGAGCAGAAGAAAATACCACAGGCTTACTACCCTCATGGGTGAGAGGCCCCAATTTTTTTTTTACAGCACATTGTCTCCCACCTAAGCAGACTGCAGAACAGGAATTGTTCTTTTGTAGGTTCTTTATTTCTTGGCTCTACCATGATAACTAAACCAATACTTCCTACTCAGTATAAGGTATTATATCAGGTCTGTTCCATAAGCAGTTTAATTTAACCCCTCTAGCAACCCCACAGGGTAGGTTTTGATAGTTCCCTTGTGCTCCTAAGGAATAGGAGACTTAAGGAGGGTCAGTAAGATTTCAGGGTCACTTGGCTGTCAAAAGGCAGCGTTCAAACCCAGGACTTTCTGATTCCGGAGCCCACCCACAGCCTTATAGTGCCATCCACAGCCACAATAGCAGTGAATTTACAGTATCAGGATAAAGTTTCTTCTGACCCTCACCAAGGTTACTTTAAAAGAAACAAACATTTAATGCACTGGTAGTTATGACATCATCTTGCTGTACTTCTAAGAATTGTTTCAATTAAAAAGTGTGGTGAAGGAGGTTGAAAAGAAGATGGAATATAAATGGAAGTGCTCCTTCTTCCTAAGTGTACTGTTCAAACTTAGCGTGCTGAAAGGACAGAAGCCGACCTCTGCTGTATGAACGCAGTGTGCTGACGTCAGTGTGTGCGCGGTGGTTTCACACGTGTCCGGCCTGCCTGGCATCTGAATCTACTGCACATGAAATGTTCAACTGAAATTCTTAAAGAGGGTCCTAAGAATCACAATAGACTTAAATTTTTCTCACAGCTTGAAATTAAAATTCAGGTCACACGGTTTGACTGTCATCTGCAATAATAGTCACTTGCCACATGCTTGAAAAGTATACTTTTAATTTTAACTATTGTTAAATACATGCTTTGACCTATTTTTCCACAAATTAATTTGGTTAAAACCATTGTCTACGTGACCATATAGAGGTAAAATTTACTTATTTTCTTTAATATATGAAGGAATGTTTGTTAAGTAATAGAGATCAGCAGATTTTAAGAACATCATTATTTCTTAAATTTTTAAATGGTTAATTTAAAAATAATTATTAAGTCTTTTATATTACTTAGTATATTAAAATATATTATTTATTGTATTTTAACAAGCAGTTTAGAAACATATAAAGTAAAAGTAGAAAATGTTTTACCCATATCCATTTGGCCTCTGTAAAGCACAAACTAGCTATATAGGAAGAATAGAAGATCCATGATCGTGAAGGAAAAAAAAGTCATAATCTCATGTTTCTTTACATAAAACAATTCTGTATTGTAGAGATTTCTCTTAAGTATATGGGTTATACATGCTAATGTCCTAATTGCTAATTAAGTGGAAGCCATCAAGTGCTAACTCTCTCAACATCCTGACCCTACACCTCACAAATCTGTTTCCCCTCTGAGGGTCTTTTTCCATAATCACCCTCTCCACAAGCTCTCCCCCGCTGTCCTTTCTCAGCTCTTGTTCATGGGTTATCCCTTCTCTGTCCTGTATCTACAACTTCAGTCTCATAATTGATTCATTTTTGCCAGTCTGTAGACATAGTCATGTCTGTTCTATCCTAAACAGATTTTCCCTTAAGTTCATAGCACTACAGGCCTACCTCAAGAAACAAGAAAAAGTTCTAGTCAACTTTCTAACCCTACAACTTAAAGAACTAGAACGTAAACCAAAAGAAAAAAAACAGAGCAAGTAGAAGGAAAGAAATAATAAAGGTCAGGTCAGAAATAAATGACATAGAAACTAAAAAAAATTCAAAAGATAATTTGAAACAAAGAGCTGTTTTTGTTTGGTTTGGTTTTATCCTCACCCGAGGACACTTTTGCATTCATCATCAGATAGAGCAGGAGGGAGAGAGGAGGAAGAGTGAGAGAAACATCGACGTGAGAGAGACACATTGAGTGCTTGCCCCACCCACACAACCCCAACCGGGGCTGGGGACAAACTGCAACGGAGGTACGTGCCCTTATTGGGAACTGAACCCGGGACTCTCCGGTCCACGGGCTGATGCTCTAGCTGCTGAGCCAAATTGTCGAGGGCAAAGAGCTGGTGTTTTGAAAAGACAGAAAAGATTGACAGACCCTTAGCTAGACTCACCAAGAAACAGAGAGGACCCAAATAAACAAAATCAGAAACAAAAGAGGAGAAGTTACAATTGACACTACCAAAATACAAAGGATCATTAAACAATACTATGAACAATTATATGCCAACAAATTGGACAATCTAGGTGAAATGGACAAATTTATAGAATCACAGTCTCCCAAAACTGAACCTGGAAGAGCAAGAAAACTTGAACAGACCAATAACAACTAAGGAAATTGAAGATGTAATCAAGAAACTTCCACCAAACAAAAGCCCAGGCTTGGATGGCTTCACGGGGGAGTTTTACTGAACACTCAAAGAAGAGCTAAAACCCATTCTCCTCAACCTATTCCAGAAAATTCAAGAACAAGGAAGACTTCCAAACTTATTTTATGAGCCAGCATAATTCTAATTCTAAAACCAGATAAAGACACTACAAAGAAAGAAAACTATAGGCCAATATCCCTGATGAATATAGATGCTAAAATCCTTAACAAAATATTAGCAAATTGGATCCAGCAATACAGTAAAAAAAATTGTTCGCCATGATGAAGTGGGATTCATCCTAGGGATGCAAGGCTGGTACAGTATTCACAAATCAATAAATGGGGTACACCACATAAACAAAATGAAAGATAAAACCCATATGATCATATCAATAGATGCTGAAAAAGCATTCAACAAAATCCAGTACCTATTTCTGATAAAAATGCTCAACAATGTGGGAATAGAAGGATCATATCTCAACATAATAAAGGTCATATATGAAAAACCTACAGCCAACATCACACTCAATGGGCAAAAACTAAAAGCATGTCCCTTAATAACAGGAACAAGACAGGGATGCCCACTTTCACCACTCTTATTTAACATAGTTCTGGAAGTCTTAGCTGCAGCAGATAGACATGAAGAAAAAAATAAAAGGGATTCTAATTGGAAAGGAGGAAGTGAAACTGTCATTATTTGCAGATGATATGATATTGTACATAGAATAAAGACTCCATCAAAAATCTACTAGATTTAATGAATGAATTTGGCAAATTAGCAGGATACAAAATTAACATCAAGAAATCGACGGCATTCTTATACACCAATAATGAACTCACAGAAAGAGAAACTAAAAAAAAAAATCTGATTTACCATTGTGGCAAAAAAATTAAGATACTTAGGAATAAACTTAACCAAAGAAGTAAAGGACCTCTTCACAGAAAACTACAGGTCATTGAAAAAAAAAAAAAAATAGAGGAATATATAAAAAAGTAGAAGTATATACCTTTTTCATAGATTGGAAGAATTAACATCATTAAAATATCCATGCTTCCCAAAGCAATCTATAGATTTAGTTCATTCTCCATTAAATACCAATGACATATTTCATGGAATTGGAACGAATATTCCAAAAGTTTATATGGAACCAAAAACCCCAAATAGCCACAGCAATCTGAAAAAGAACAAAGTAGGAGGGATCACAATACTGGATATCAGGTTATACTGCAAAGCCATTGTAATAAAAACAGCCTGGTACTGGCACAAAAACAGTCATATAGATCAATGGAACAGTACAGAGAACCCAGAAATTGACCCAAGACAGTATGCTCAATTAATATTTGACAAAGGTAGCAAGAACATACAATGGAGTAAAGACAGCCTCTTTAATAAATGGTGTTGGGAAAATTGGACAGCTACATGCAACAAAATAAAACTAGACCATCAACTCACACCATACACAAGAATAAACTCAAAATGGATAAAAGACTTAAATGTGACTTGTGAATGCATAACAATCCTAGAAGAAAATGTAGGCAACAAAATTTCAGACATTACATGTAGCAGAATTTTCACTGACACAATGCCTAAGGTAAGAGAAACAAAGGAAAAAATGAATACATGGGACTACATCAAACTAAAAAGCTTCTGCACAGCAAAAAGAAACTGGCATCAAAATGGAAAGGGAACCCACTATATGGGAGATTATAATTGCCAATGATAACATAAGGAGTAAATTTCCAAAATATATAGAGTACTCATACAACTCAACAAAGGAAGACAAATAATCCAATTAAAAATGGGCAGAGGACCTAAAGAGACACCCCTCCAAACAGGACATACAAATGGCCAAGAGACATATGAAGAAATGCTCAGCATCACTAATCATCAGAGAGATGCAAATTAAAACAACAATGTGGTATTACCTCACATCTGTCAGAATGGCCGCCATCAACAAATCATCAAACAAGTGCTGATGAGGGTGTGGAGAAAAGAGGACTCTAGTACACTGCTGGTGGGAATGCAGACTGGTGCAACCACTATGGAAAACAATATGGTGTTTCCTCAAAATATTAAAAATTGATCTACCATTTGACCCAGTTCCACTTCTAGGAATATACCCTAAGAAGCCTGAAACACCAATCAGAAAGAATATATGTGTACTCCTGTGTTCATAGCAGCGCTATTTACAGTTGCTAAGATCTGGAAACAGCCCATGTCCATCAATAGATGAGTGGATAACAAAGCTGTGGTACATATACACAATGGAGTACTATGCAGCTGTAAGGAAGAAAGATCTCTTATCCTTTGAGACGACATGGAGGGACCTGGAGAGTATTATCCTAAGTGAAACAAGCCAAGCAGAGAAAGACAAATATCACATGATCTCACTCATTTGTGGAATATAATGAACAAAATAAGCTGATGAACAAAATAGACCCAGTGACATAGAAGTAGGGTACAGCCTCACAACCCTCAGAAGAGGGGGTCGGGGGACAGAAAAAAGATAAATCGAAGAACATACATGCATATATGCATAACCGGTGGACCTAGACAACAATGGGGGTGGGTGGGGGTGGGGTCAGGAGGAGCGTGTCAATGAAGGGAAATGGAGAAATATCTGTAACAAAAATAAATTAATAAAAAAATAAAATATAATAGATTTTTCCTTGATCCTTGTCTAGTTACTGCTCAGTCTCTATAAGAATAAGCTCAACAATAAGTATTTGTTGAAGGAATAAATGAATGAATACCTCATACACAACATGTGGAGATAAAACTATAACTACACAATTTTGTATTGTAATATCTAGGGGATAATTTGTTACTAAGCAATTATTATAAACTTGTCATAACAAATACTATATTATTTTAAGAACCAGCACTGAAATGTGTCTTGGTTTTAGGTTTACATCTCATTGGATCAACCTGTGACTGCATTAAACCTTTACAAACAAGGCTTAGATAAGTTTCCGGGAGAAGTAACCCTTCTTTGTGGAATTGCCAGGATCTATGAGGTGAGGTTCTTAGTATTCAAAAGGTTATATGCTTCTTAAGTAAGCCTTATCCCTATGGGGCCCTAGGAAGGAGAACAATTTATAAAGCTATGATGGTGGGCCTGTAGTTTACCAACAGAGTAAGAGATTTTAGCGTATGCATTTAGTCAAGCTGACTTGTTATTGTGAAGTATATCACATATACATAAGTGTATAGAGAATGGTGTGAGGTGGGGCTTTAAATTACTTTTCCTCTATAAATAGCTAATTGTCCCAGTACATTTATTAATCCTTTTCCCAAGGTCTATAATGTCAAGTATAATTTTTTTTCTATATTTGGTAGATATGTTTTGGGGCCTATTATTTTGTTCTATTGGTCTGTCTGTCTAACCTTATCCCAAAACCATACCAATATCATACCATCTTAATTACTATAGTTTTATAAGACTTACTGTTTGGTACTAGGCTGGTGTGGCTCAGTGGTTGAGCACTGACCCACATAATAAGAGGTCACTGGTTTGATTCCTGTCAGTGCATGTGCCCAGGTTGTGTGGGCTCAATCCCCAATAGGAGGCATGCAAGAGGCAGCCAATCAATGTTTCTCTCTCATCAATGTTTCTTTCCCTCCCTCTTCCTTTCTCTCTCTCTAAGTAACATATTAAAAAAACCAACAACAACAACAAACAACAAAACTTACTGTTTGGTAGGGCACTTTGTTCATTGTTACCAGAAATGTTTTGGCTATTTTGGACTTTACTTATTTTTATAAATTTTAGCGTCATGGTGTCAAATTCCATGAAAAGCCCCATTGAGATATTATCCCCGCTACCTAATTACTTTAGCTTAACAATAACTCCCCATACTAGTTTGAGAAAATTATACCACCTGTTCTTGTTCACAATTGGTTATGCTGGCCCTTTGCTCTTCCATATTGATTTTAGGATTGGCTTATCAGGAACCGTTAAAAAAATAACTGTGCAGGGATAGTGATTGGAATTGAGTGGACTATATGAATGATGGGGTGGGGGTGGGCTGCCTTTCCTCCCACCCTCAACATGTCTCCATTTATGTTTTGGTTCTGCAACAAATATTTTGTAATTATCTCCATAAAGATGTTTTGTTGGGAGTCTCCAAAACCACCTAGGTTCGGTGGTTTATTGGAAAGATCTAAAGCAAAGGGAAAAGGCACATGAGGCAAAGTTCAGAGGAAACCAGGCACAGACTTCCAACAGTCCTCTCCCACTGGAGTCACACAGGGCACACCTGATTTTTTCAGCAACAAGTTACGAGCACATGTGCGAAGCGTCCATCAGGGAAGCACGCTGGGGTCTTGGTATACAAGGTTATTACTGGCGGCTGGTCATATAGGCACCCTCTGCCTATCACATACCAAAGTCCCAGGCTCCAAGAAGTAAAGCAGGTGTTCAGCATAAATGACATTGTACAAACAGTTTAGGTGTAGTGAGCCACTCTTATCACTTGGGCACAGTTTTATATCAATGTAGGGAACCAGCTAAGTTCACAGATGGCACCCAAGGGCCAACCTTGGAAGCCGACCTTTTTGGAATAACAGTCTCAGACCTGCTATGTTAACTTTTTCTGCACAGATGTATTCCTGTGTATAACTATGAATGGGATCCTTTTTTCTGTTGTATTTTTTATTTGATTATTTCTGGTTAGTAGGAATGCATTAATTTTTAAAAGTATGTTTCACACTAGCAACCTGGCTAAATACTCTTTAAATTTTAATTTCTTATCCAAAAGTTCTCTTAAATTTTCTAAGTAATAAAATAATCATCAGCTATAAACAGTTTCATTTTCTTCAGTTATTTTACCAAATTAAAAAGAATATCTTATGGGTTAGGACTTCCAATACAGTATTTAATAGAAGCATCTCTGTTGTCTTTTAAATTCCTTAAAATGCTAGGTATGATATTTTAAAAATTACTTTGTTAGAAAAAGAATAAAAAATATTGATAGTTTCTATATCTGGGCAGTAGTATATAAATGACTTTTATTTTTATTTATTTATTAAACATTTTTTTTTCTTTATTGATTTCTTTATTGAGAGAAGGGGAGAGAGAGAGAAACATCAATGAGTGAGAACATCGATTGGCCACCTCCTGCATGCCCCCGATGGGGGATCTGGCCCATGACCTAGGCATGTGCCCTGACCAGGAATCAAACTGGTGACCTCCTAGTGCGGGGGTCGACACTCAACCCCTGAGCCACACTGGCGGGCATGAATGACTTTTATTTGGGGCTTTATTTTTCAGATTTTTCTGTAATGAACATACATTGCTTTAAAAAAGAAAGACAATATTTTTTAAATTGTCTGGAAAGATTGTTTTCTCTTTTGAAATATAATTTTGATAAGCATGTAAATAGAAGATTTGATCATTAAATAAACAACTATATCAGTATGTCTGTGTCCTTACTTGTGTGACTCCACATTGACGGACAGAATTTCGACCGGAAACTTGGAAAGGACGGGTGATGAAACAGGCTGTGAAACCGGGGGCGTCCAGGCACAGTGTTGACCATCCCTTTGTAGTGAGAGCTCCTGCACCTTCGTGCTCTGCCTTCTGCGCATTTCCGCCCTCGTGCCAGCTTTCTCTTAGGCAGGAGGTGCTGGCAGAGAGATCTGGAGAACGATGGCATTTCTAACGTGTGGTCGCTGCTCAGAAGTTCTTCCAAGCCTCTGTTACAGTCACTGCCACTATGGCTGGGATAGGCCGGGCCCTGGAGCAGATCATTTAACCCGCCACTTCCTTCCCTTTCCTGCCTCGTTTTGGCCAGGAGTTGGAGGGGCATATCTTTTTATGAGTGTCCAGGGAACGGCTTTGTGAGAAAAGTAGAATTCCACTTTGCAGTCGGGAAGAAAGAAGTAGAGAGGAAAGCGTTCTAGTTGTGGGGACAATGTTATGCACAAATACGGTGCTCACGATTGAGCCCAGACTCAAAATAGTCAGATGCAGTATTTCCTCTTGAGTGCGCAGTTAATTTCCCTTAGGGCACAGTTTATCCTACAAAATTTCCAGTGTATCCCTTCTCTCTCTATGTGAAATGGCTTTAGAGTTCATTAGTCAAGTTTGTTCCTAGCATTACCGCCTACACTGTACATGCCTTTGGAAATGTTTCGTGTAGCCCTGGCCGGTTTAGCACAGCGGTTTGAGTGTCGGCCTGAGGTCCAGAGAGACTGGGGTTCGGTTCCTGCTAAGGGCATGTACCTTGGTTGCAGTTTGTCCCCGGCCCTGGTTGGGTCGTGAGGGTGGCAGCCACTCGATGTGTCCCTTTCACGTCGATGTTTCTCCCTCTCTTTCCCTGTCTCTCCCTCCCACTCTGTCTGAACAAAAAATGGAAAAATCTCCTTGGGTGAGGATTAAAAAAAAAAGAAAGAAATGTTTTGTGTATACATACTTTCCTCTTTTCCTTTACGTTCTTTTCTTTTTATTTATCGCATTCGTGTTGGTCTTGTACCTTTTAAATCTTTCCTGTTTGAAAAATGAAGGTGTTGTGCTGTCTGTTGCTCATTGCTTGTTTTTTTTTACAGAAACTTGTTTAAAAATGATTTATCCTTGTTCAGTTTATTTAGTTGTGGTCATTTTTCTTGAGGCATTTTGTTTATTAGTTCAAAATGCAGGTCTGTATTTGAATTGTTCTTTGTTAAAAGGTGTTTGAAATTAGAAACCGCCATAGGAAATATTATGCCTGTGGTCCTAGACTTTACTATTTATAAAAATGACTTTGGGGGTGTCTGAGAAGGGTGGCCCATCCTCTCCCTACTAAATCAGGTGGGATGCAGGTATTTGTTTAACAAGCTCACTAGGTGATTCTGTGTTTTGAAGAAGATTTTAGTTGTTTTTCAGCTATAAGCAATGAATGAAAAAGCCTCTTCAGGAGCTAAATCCAGCAGGATTTTGAATAAGAATTTCAAATATAAAACATGAGTTCGGGTCAACCTATGAATGTTTTATTGGGGTTTTGTGGGACTAATAAGTAGCACCCCAGTTCTCATTCCAAGCTGAGAACCGGTTGAGAGGCAGACACAAGATGCAGACAAATGAAGGACAGCCATTCACTTCATTACTGATAAAAGTGGAACTGAGCATGTGCGTTCGATCCGTGACCCAGAGGACTTAACAGGGTTCTGCCTCTGAGCGAGACAGACTGGTCCGCGCTGTCAGGGCTGTGACTATACTACCTGCGGGTGTTCTCTGCCTGGGAGAGCCGGCTCCACAGGCAGGCCGGCTTCCGAAGAGACCCGGGGCTAAGCCCTGCGTGCTCTGTTTGCCTCGTGGGATGAATGAGTGGGAGTGGGAGCGGGAGAAAAGGCCCCAAATATCATCCTAATACCAGCCTTTCTCCAAGTGTGGACCAGGGATTTCTGGGGTCCACAGGTCAATCAAAACGTTTTATAAAATTAACATTCATGAGATTAGTGGATGTGATTTTTTGATTTCTGGAATGTCCCCTCAGTTTGCTTCGAACCAAACACTACTGTAAAAGAATAAAGTCCTTAAATATAAATAAATAAATAAATAAATAAATAAATAAATAAATAAATAAAACCCCCGAAGTCTTAAAAATATGCATGATCACTTGATGAGGACAGGCGAGTGGCTCACATAGCAAGTGCCATGTAGCGAGAGGCAGAAGAGAGCCATGTGGCGTGAGGGCGTCGGGAAGTCCCCACGAGGGATGTGGAGCCTGAGCTGGCCTCGAAGGTGGATTTGAGAGCTGTAAGAATATTAATAACATTAAATGCATTATTTGTGATCAGAGAGACTCCTGGTACCCTTGCTACCATTCTTCCCCACTTTGGTGTATCCTGTGTATAACCACCAAGTTACTCTTTAAAAATGTAAATATAATCATGTTCCTCTTTCACTCTTAACTCAGATGGCTTTTCCTCATTCTAGAAAACCCCCGGGGTTTCTGCCATGGCTGTCGGAGCTCCTGGCTGCCCCTTGGAGCTCCTTTTATGCCACTCACACTGGGCAAGTGTGTTCTCACCTCAGCCTCTTACATTTGCTATTTCCTCTGCCCACATGTTGCTTCCCCAGATGTGCTCAGGTCTCAATCCCTCACTTCCTTCAGGCCTGTTCACAGGGCGCCTCCTCCATGACCCCTTCTGAAGCAGCACCCGCCCTGTCTCCTTACCCGGCTCTGTTTCTCTCTGCATCCCTGTCCTCACCTGACATCATACCATGTGTTTATTCATTTGTCTTCTCTACCAGATGTAACCTCCTTGAGGATAGTAACTTTATCTTCTTTGTTATATGTGTTCCCGGGCCTAGAACAGAGTCTGGCACATGGTAGGCTCTTAATAAATATTTATTGAATGAAAGAATGTAAACCAGTCAGAAAGAAAATAATTTCTTGGCACTATCAATAAAGTTTCGCTCTTCTGTCTTGATGGAGAATAGGAAATGAACAATATCTCATCGGCCTCTGAATACTACAAAGAAGTTTTGAAACAGGACAGTACTCACGTGGAGGCCATTGCATGCATTGGAAGCAACCACTTTTATTCTGATCAACCAGAAATTGCCCTCCGGTTTTACAGGTGTGCTGTACCTTCGATTTGTAAAACTACTTTCCAGTGGAATACTGGTGAACTAGTAATAAAGAGGGAATGAAAATGGAGAGGAATAATGTCTAGGCTATGTCTACATGAGACTAGAAATGGAAATACCCAGATGTTTTATAAGCATTAAAAGTGACATCTAGCCATGGCTGGTTTGCTAAGTGGTTAGAGCACCAGCCCATGGACCAGAGAGATCCGGGTTTGGTTCCTGCTAAGGGCACGTACCTCGGTTGCAGTTTGTCCGGGCCCTGGTTGGGGTCATGTGGGTGGGACAACTCAATGTGTCTCTCTCACATCAATGTTTCTCTCTCTCTCCCTCTCTCCCTCCTGCTCTATCTGAGATGAATGCAAAAATGTCCTTGGGTGAGGATAAAAAAAAGAAAATGACATCTGATAATTTGGAAATGCACAGATATTTGGCATCTTGTAGAAACATACCTGGGTAATTGCCTGAGTGTTTAACACTATGGCATTGTATTAATTAGCCATTTTGTCATTGGCCGGTAACAGTTTGATAGTTACTGGAGACACCTCTCACCATCTCTGTCTGCATTAATTCCACCGTGTATAATATAAAGACCTTGAAGCTGAAATGGGGATGAGATTTGCAAAGGGCAGCAGGCCCCAGCTTCTGAGCCCTGACGAGGACCTGAAACAGGGTCCCGTGTTTTGTGAAGTATTGTCAACTTTTGTCCAGATAATTTTTCAGTCTAAATAAATTCTGTTATCTGGTTCTCTTGTTTAAAACCTTTTTTTTTTTTTCTTATTGATTTTAGAGAGAGAGGAAGGGAGAGGGAGAGAGAGATAGAAACATCAATGAGAGAGAACCTTGATCGGCCGCCTCCTGCATGCCCCGCGCTGGGGATCGGGCCCACAGCCTGGGCACGTGCCCTGACCTCCTGGCGACCTCTTGGTGCATGGTCGACGCTCAACCACTGAGCCACACCAGCTGGGCTCTGGTTCTCTTCTGAGTACATACTTATTTTATTTAGAGCTGGTTTCTGGATTAATTTTTAAATTTTGATTTCCTCTTCAGCCTTTAGGTAAGATACAAGGAAATAACTGGCAGCTGACAAGAGTTCTCCCCAAATACGTATAAATGATAATATAAATGCTGTCCTGTTATACGCAGCTGCAGCCGGGGTGGATTTCATGTGCTTATCTGAACTCTCTTGTCCTTTGACCTTTGGGGTTAATGATGCGTAGAAGCAAATGGGCTTCTTGAGCTGTAGCGTGAAAGCTAAGTGGGTAACAAAGGGATCCACCGACGGTCTGGTCTTCCTCGGTGGGAGCCCGTTGGTGGTCAGTAGATGCAGCTAAACCACAGAGTACTTATAACCAAAACCAGGACTCAACTCGGCTAAAAACCTGGAGGTAAATGCTCAACACAGTCCTCAAATTAGATTAGAAGGTCTTAGGAGTTTACCTATGGGCACGAAAGCTTTATGAAGCAAAAATGTGTGGGTTGTACTTTACGTAACCATTTCGGTCTTATTTTGGTTCTCTGACAAAGCTTTTGGGGGAGAAAAAGAACTTACGTAAGTTGTTTCTGACCTTGCCTCTGGATACATTTCCCATAACTAGTACTATTAAAAAAGACATGCTTTTGTATTTGCTTTCACATTTTTTTCATTGACTGCAATACTTTCTACTTAAATTTAGGGGTGTTAAGATGATCAAATACATTCATTTCTAAATTTGTAAAAAATATGTATCTTAATATTTATAAGCTGGTCTGACACCAAAATATGTGCACTCTTTTCAAAAAGGCGACTCCTGCAGATGGGGGTTTATAACTGCCAGCTTTTGAACAATCTGGGGCTCTGCTGCTTCTATGCCCAGCAGTACGATATGACTCTGACCTCCTTTGAGCGTGCCCTTTCTCTGGCTGAAAATGAAGAAGAGGCAGCTGATGTCTGGTACAACCTGGGACACGTGGCCGTGGTATGTTGTTCCCCTAATACAACTTCTGTCCTAGATAAGGTAGCACAAGTGAGTTTGAAGACATTTCAGGTGTTGTAAATCCAGGTTTGGTGACAGTGTTAGGGAGCAATTTAGAGATTTCTAGGAGTCCCCATACCTCATTTTATATTCCCACGTCAGATCCTCTTACATACAGTTCACACCTGGCTCCTGGGAGCGGTACTTGCTCATTTTCTGCTCTGGCAGAGCAGATTTATGTGAAGACCGGTGGGAGGAGCCGGAGGGAGGAAGCGTGCGGGTGGGCATGGGCGGACCCGTGTTTTTCTCTTGTAGGGAATAGGAGATACGAGTCTGGCCCATCAGTGCTTCCGGCTGGCCCTGGTCAACAACAACAGCCACGCCGAGGCCTACAACAACCTGGCCGTGCTGGAGATGCGCAAGGGCCACGTGGAGCAGGTCAGTGAACGGGGCGTGGCCCTGGGCAGTCTGCCTTCTTCAAAGAAATGCTGTTCTGTGTAGCACCTTTACTTGCTGTGATTCAGCAGTGAGCCCTCAGGCCTGACCAGCCAGGGTTTGAGTCCCAGCCCTGTCATGTATCAGTGATGTGCCCTTGCCCGAGGTACTTAACCTGTGTCCAAAACACAGCACTTGGTTTTATTAGGACAAGTCTGCACCTTCCCGGGCTTCCCTGTCTTCGTCCCCCATCCACCATCTAGCTGTCCCCCATCCACCATCTAGCTGTCCCCCATCCACCATCTAGCTGTCCTCCATCCACCATCTAGCTGCTGAAGCCAAAATCCTAGGAGCCACCCTGGAAACCTCTTTTTTCCAACTGCCTCTCCTGCCACCCCATGTCCCCAGCGTGGTCGGCAAGCCCTTGACAGGTCTACCTCCTGCCACGTCCTGAACCTGGCCACTTTCCTGTGCTCCTCACCCCCTCTCCAAACTGCTCTCCCCTCTTACCTGGACGACTACGAGAGTGTCCTAGCTGGTCTTTTTGTTTCCAGTTATATCAGCTAGTAAGCGTGCCCGACAAGACATCCTCCTCAGATCAGCCGCAGGGGTTTTTTATAAAAACAGATTATTTTATTACTCCTTTGCTTAGCGTCCTCCAAAGCCTTTCTCTTTTCCCCTGGAGTAAAATCTGGACTTCAAACCTGGGCCTACGAGGCCCCGTGGAATGTAGCCTCTGGCTCCCTCTCAGGCTACATCTTCTGCGACTACCGTGGTTTCCCCTTTTCCACGGTTTTGCTTTCCTTGGTTTCAGCGACCCATGCTCAACCATGGCCCTAAAGTATTAAATGGAAAAATCCAGGAATAAACAGTTCCTGAGTTTTCAATGGTGCGCCACCCTGAGGAGCATGATGGAGCCTTGTGCAGTCCCAGTCCATCCTGCCCGGGGCGTGACTCATCCCTTGGCCCCCTGTGCCACGCCGCATGTCAGTCACTCACAGCCGGCTCGGTTATCAGACAGAGACCACATTTACATAATTTTAGTACAGGATATTGTCATAATTGTTCTATTTCACTATTGTTAATTTCTTATTGTGCCTAATTTATAAATTAAACTTTATCATAGGTGTGATTGTATAAGAAAAACATAGAATAGGTGGGGTTTGGTGTTACCCTCAGCTTCAGGCATCCGCTGGTGGTCTTGGAGCATATCCCTCGGCTGAGGGAGGACTACTGTGCATCTGTTGCGCTGACTTCTGGACACATTAGCTGCCTGGCTTCTCTACAAACATGCAGTGACTGTCCTTGCTTTAGGGCCTTTGGAATGTTCTTTCAGATCCTGCAGTGACTACTTTTTGTCACTGAGGTCTCAGCTCAGTTCCCCCTCCTTAGAAAGCTCACCTCAAACGTCAGTGTACGGGAGCCCTCAGGCAGTCGTGTGCTCTGTTATTTCCTTCACAGTGCTTGTCATTTTACAGACATTGTCGTGTTTACATGTGGAATGCCAGCTGCGTGGAGGCAGGGACTTTCTCTGTCTGCTAACTGCTGTATTTTCAGCATCAAAAACTGCCCGGGCAGTGGCAGGTGCTCGGTCTATATTTGTGAAATGAAAGGTTGATACATAACACAGGGTAATAATAGTATTCTGAAGGTGTTTGTGTGAGGATTAGCGGATCATACATGTAAAGCACTTGGCATAGGAGAAGAGTAGTATTGAGCACATGGTAGATGCGCAGTGAATTATGTTATTATTATAACAGAATCTTAAAATGCTAAATATGCAATATTAGTGGTAATCAAGGGTAGATATTACTACATTCCAAACTTTAGAGATGAAGAAACAGAGACTCGAGGCGGGTTAGTAACTCCCCAAGGTCACAGACACAGTGAGCAGCATGCCTCCTGGTCTAAGCACGATGGTGAATTTAACAAACAAGGAGAGAAACATTATTGAATATTGCTTTTCTTTCATAAATTCCCCCAAAGTAAATGAGATGGATTTGTATTTTTTTAAAACCTCACCCGAGGATATGTTTTTATTGATTTTACATAGAGAGAGGAGGGGTTTAGGGGGGAGAGAGAGAGAGAAAAAAAACATGTGAGAGAGAAACATCTGTCTGTTGCCTCCCATAGGCACCCCCAATAGGGGTTGAACCCGCAACCTAGGTATGTGCCCTGACCCAGAATTGAACCCGTGGCCTTTTGATGTAATTTATTATAGCATTCATAGGAAATTAATAAAAGTGTTCAATGAAGATGAGTTGAATAATTTATAGTTACACAGGTGAGCTTAGAACAGTGCAGAAGACAGAACCAGAATGGCTGGGGTAGAACAAGAGAGAGAGAGAGACATCAATGGGAGAGATAAACATCGATCAGTTGCCTTTCTTATGCACCCCGACCAGGGATCAAACCTGCAGTCTAGGCAAGTGCCCCAACCAGGAATTGAACCCGCAACTTTTTTGGTGTATGGGATGAGGTTCCAACCAACTGAGCCACCCAGCTGGGGCAGATTTGTATTTTAGGAACAAACCCTAACTACTCTAAAATGGGAACTTGTTCTGCCTTGGAACTTTACTTATGTCCATATGAAGCAAGCCCCTTCTCTGCTTTTCTCTGTTCCCACCCTGGTGATTTTCTTCCCCCTTCCTTATCGTAGTTTCTTCAGTATACAACTGATTTGAAATGTTTTGGTGAAAGGTTTCATGATACTAACCCCATTTTATTATTATACCTCACTTAAAAAAAGAAAATAATCATAAAACAAAAGCATACATGCACCATTCTATATGAACTGTCATTTTATTTTTCATTAAAAAAAGCAAGATGTATGAATTTGTCCTCAGGGTCACTGATAGAGATTTCAGGTTTAGCTACAAGCTGGAGGGTTGCTCAGCAGCTTAGAACGCTGACTGTGGTCTTAATGACGAGTGTACGAGCATCTCATGTCACTCATGGCGCCTGCAACGTATGATCCTCTGAGCCTACAGGGGACGAAAAATTGATGTGGATTTTTGTGTGTATGTGTGTGTGTGTGTGTGGGGGGGGGGGGGGAGAACAGAAAGCCTGTCATTTTCAGTTGCGTTTGGTTGTCATTTTCAGGTCAGCAGTACAATAGATGCTGCTGCTCATTGTCACCCAGCACAGAACCTGGGCTTTGAAATTTACTGTGGCTTTGGTTGTTTTTGTTGTTGTGTTAGAGAACAGATCATTAGATGCCCACTGCATCAGTCATCAGTAACAAAAACTAGATTAAAAAGATTTTTTTTTCAGCATCGAGAGGTTTATATTTTAAGTTGTCATGTTGAAATATAAATTTTAAAAGAACATTGGTTCTCAAATAACAAAATCTACCCTGAGTTTTCAATTCTCTTATTTTCTCCATATTTTGAAACATTTTATTATTCATCTAGTTTTGGCAAGATAGAAGCAGTTAGTTGTGTATCAGTAAGTTGTATTTCATGAGGAATGCCATCTATATTTATCACATCATGTTTATTAAGGCCCTATTCTGGGTGAAGGATTCTTTTTTTAAAAAAATCACAAATATAGTGCTGATGTATGCTCATATATCTTTACCTTTCTTCCCACAGGCAAGAGCGCTGTTACAAACTGCGTCATCCTTAGCACCCCATATGTACGAGCCGCATTTTAATTTTGCAACAATTTCTGATAAGGTATTCTCTTTCTACATCAATTTACCATCTGATATGTTTCTTTTTTTTCCCCCTTGGTTTTAAAAAAAAGTACAGATAAATAAGGACATTCTAACCATAACTTCCTGAAAGGAAGGACATTTTTAAACACAATTATTATATACACATATGTCTTTCCTTAAGGGACAGTTTAATAAACTTTACAGAACATAATCACTGAATATTGACTAAACCTAACGCCATTATGGATTGCAGAAGAATTATTTTATGTTTTAAAATAAATATGACATTTAGTCATTAAAAATATACTCACTAAGTGACTGCTGCTTTGGGAAGGATTTAGTAATTGGTTTTTACAGCAAGGAAATCCTGTGTATTATTTGTAGATCATATTGCCACCAAGTCTCTGGCATGATTGCTGTAAAAATATGGACAGTAGCCCTGGCCAGTTTGGCTCAGCAGTTAGAGCTTCGGCCCATGGACCAGAGAGTCCCGGGTTTGGTTCCCAAAAAGGGCATGTAGCTCGGTTGCAGTTTGTCCCCAGCCCCGGTTGGGGTTGTGTGGGTGGCAACCAGTCGATGTGTCTCACATCGATGTCCCCCCCACACACACTCTATCTGAAGATAAATGCAAAAATGTCCTCGGATGAGGATTGAAAAAAAAAAATAGGGACAGTAGTGCCCTGGCGGGTTATGCTCAGTGGTTAGAGTATCAGCCTGTGGACCAATGAGTTGCGGGTTCGATTCCAGTCAAAGGCATGTACCTCAGTTGCAGTTCATTCCAGGCGTTTGTCGGGGTCATGTGGGAGGCAACCAGTTGATGTGTCCCTCTCACATCGATGTTTCTCTCTCTCTCCCTCCTCCCACTCTATCTGAAGATAAATAGAAAAATATCCTCGGGTGAGGATTAAAAAAAAAAAAATAGGGATAGTAGTGGAAGCTGTTTTCGCAATGAACAATATGGGGAAAATGCAACTTTTAATTCTGTTACAAGCCAGTTAATATCCAAGAGCTAAAAGGAATCTTGTGCCATTTGTAGTAATAATAAGAAAACAAACAGAAGACATCTAATAACTAACTTTGCCTGACAATCCCTTTAACATGGAAGGTGAGTTTTGAGGATAAGGAACTGGCTAAAAACGTTTGCTGATGTGGAAACTTTCTTTATGGACCAAAGACATTATAAAAATATGTCATTGTCCATAGCGTGCACGTAAAACCATCCACACTCTCATTTCTGGTTTGAACCTAAGATAAGCTATCATTTATAAGTTGTCATTTTTGAGTGCTTTTTAAGTGCTAGCCACTGTTCCAGGTGCTCTGTACACCTTTTCTGATTTTCCTAACAACTGTGCAGTGTCGGTATCCCTTACCTTCCTTTCTATGAATGATGTTGTTTTTTTTTATTTATTTATTTTTGGTACGTACCCCTAGCAGAAACTGAACCCAGGACTCTCTGGTCCGCAGGCCAATGCTCCAACCACTGAGCCAAACTGGCCAGGGCTAAATGATGTTGTTTTTAAAACTTGAGCCTCTGCTATGTACCAGGCACTGTTTTAGGCACAGAAGACGTTACCGATAAGTAAAACAGACCAAAACCTCTACATCATGCAGCTGATATTCTAATGGAACCCAAGGCATGAGAAGCTTAAGAGGCTCGAGTCACAGGTGCAGATGCACACCAGCTCCTCCTGCTGCACAGGTGTTTCCCCTGCACTGTGCTGCCTCGCAGTTAAACCTCACAGGAGGCTGGATTCCTCCCTCAGGAACGTCATCACACTTAATAATATGTAACTCAAGTGAGAGATTTCTTTAAGCAAAGGTTCTACTGCCATTAGAGAAAACAGTGTGTTGAAGTGCTATGATTTAAAACAAGAAACTTATGTTTTTAATACATATACATGTTGTTTTAAAAAACCCACCAGAATGGAATTATCTCGATTTTTGGGTGTGCGCGCACACTAAAAACCTCACTTTTTAGAAATGTGTACATGACTCAAGATACATTCAGATGGATTCTGATACTGTGTGTTTGTATTTGGCACTGGTCTTTAATATATCGTTTATTGAAATCAGAGACACCCTTTATAAACTTTTAAAACAAGGTATCTTTTCAACATTAATGTACTACCGCTACTTCAAACCTCCCAGAGTATGTTATTTTATCTTAAATACAATAGTTTCTGCTTGAATTTTCTGTCTGAAACATAAGGCCCTAATCAAAAGACGTCTTTGTGGTACATTACAAATAGTTGCCCTAAGGCTTTCTCAAACTACATCAAGTTGGCCGTGTTAGCATGTAAATGTTATTTTATTTTTATAATACTATTGGTGATAGAAAAGAAAACACAGATTATAAATTTATAACTAGACAGCCGTCATGGAGCAGAAATTATTTATATAATTGGTTATTTTATTTTTATCATATATTTTTTAAGACTGAATTGGTATCTAGGTACAAGAATCCTAAAACCCAAGTAGCATAACCAAGCGTTTTACCTTTAAAAAGTCTTTGAGTTTGGACAGTAGGCAGATAGCATGCCTCGTTGTGACTTCTTTACTCACTGGGGGTTGGGGGCAGTCTGTGGTCTCATTCTGGTGTCTCTGGCATTTCTTACAGATTGGAGATCTGCAGAGAAGCTACGTGGCCGCTCGGAAGTCCGAAGCAGCATTTCCGGATCATGTGGATACCCAGCATTTAATTACCCAGTTAAAGCAGCACTTTGCTATGCTTTGATTGTTCCTTCAACCCAGTATGTTTTTATTAACGTATAATACTAGCCTGTGCTTGATCATCGTGAAGATGACATAAGGGAGTTTAAACAAGAATGTAAGTTAAAACCTTCTTAATAACTTTATATTATAAAAGACAGGTTTTCAGCATTTGTAAGTAGATCCTGAAGGCTTTTCCCACATATAGTAGATTATTTATAATTTTATAAAACATTTTCATGAATTTTCTCAAATTTTTATAAGTGCATATTTTTAATGTTTTTAAGCTTGCCATTAGCTATCATGTAGCTTCAGAGGTCTGAAATTTGCCTTTAAAATTGCACTTTTATGGCTAAACATATGTATATTTATCCTAATTAGAGACTTTATTTAAAGCTTAAAAATGGTATTTAAACTATTTATCATATGCTTTGTGAGAGACTACATTTTCTTATACATTATTCTTTAAAATAAATCAGTTTGGCTCAGCGGTTAGAGCGTCCGCCTGCGGTCCGGAGAGACCGGGTTCGGTTCCCGCTAAGGGCATGTACCTCGGTTGCAGTTTGTCCCCGGCCCTGGTTGGTCGTGCGGGTGGCGGCCACTCGATGTGTCCCTTTCACATCGATGTTTCCCTCTCTCTCTCTTCCTCTCTCTCCCTCCCACTCTGTCTGTACAAAAAATGGAAAAGTGTCCTCGGATGAGGATTAAAAAATAAATAAATAAAATAAAATAAATCAGTGTGTAAAACACCATCATTCTGTTATTTTTATGAGTTTTTATTTCAGGTATCTGAGATAAAAATGTCTTTGAGAAGTCCAGTAATCTTAGAAATCAAGTTATCACTTTAATTTTATTTGGAATGATGTGCCACCAAGTGGTTTTTCCCCCGAGAGGCTGTTCATGGGCGATCGCATTGTCATTGTAAGAACATCAGGATGAGAAATGGGGTCCCAGCCAGGAGTCCCACCTGTGCTCAGCCAGCCCCAGGAGGTCGGTCTCGATCCCAGTCCTGGACAGGCCCTGAAAGGGTCTCCCGTATTAAATGAGCTCTCCTTCAAGTGCCCGTACAAGGAGGTGTGTCAAAGGGACAGGGCCAGTCAGACGTGCATTTGGGACTGTAGGATCAGTTCATGTTATTTTTCCTTGCTTAACTTCATGAAACTATTTTACAGGTCCTTATTCGTTTCTGTTCACTTTTGTATAAATAGTACTACTTAGCTGACAGGACAAACAATGTGAATTCAAGGCATGATAGATTGTGAGGGGCTGGAAGTAACTTCTGAAAACATGCAGGGAATCTCTTCGTGGCGCAGATGGAGGAGCAGGGCCCAGCATTGCACTGTGGCTGGTGGTATAGTCACGACTGGAGCCCACAGTCTGGGTCCTGAGCTTTAGGCTGTAACCTTTCCTGGTTCTCCGGAATGTGGAGTGCTTGTTTAGCTCGCGAGAATTTCCTCAAGCCCCATCAAGATTCCTAATACTGTATTTAATATTTATATTGAAGTTTTATAATGTGAATCATCTTCTCGGTTAATTTAAAATAAGAGCTAATAATAGCAGCTAACACTTACTGAGGATGTTGTGTAGACCCAGCTCTGTGCTAAGCACTTGATGTGGATTCATTCATCTAATGTCCACTGCAGTCTCCGAGGTGCTGCTATTCCCATTTTACTTCTGACAAAGCTGAGGCACAGAGAAGGCAAGCCACTTGCCCGAGGTTATACTGCTACTAAGTGGCAGAGCTGAGATTTAAATACAGGAAGTGTGGCCCCTGAGCTTGTGCCCTTAACCACTATGTTAAATCGTCTCTCAGTGTTTCTCCTGTAAATAAAGCTACTCTCGTTTTGATGAACAAACTGAACTACCAAGCAACATAGAGACAGACTCATAGCTGGACAGCAGGCAGACAGCCCTGGTGGGGTGGGAGTGGAAGGACTGGGCAAGAAAGAAAGAAAGCGAGAGAACTCATGGACACGGATCCCAGTGTGGTGATTGTGGGGGTGGGTGGGAGTAGAAGAGGGCATAGAGGGGAAACACGGGGATGGAAAAAATAAAAAACAAGAACAGTTTGCCAAATAAAATAAATAAAATGGATGTTATATGCATTAGTGAAATTGAATAATAAAGGAATATTCACACAACAAAAAATAAATGAGTCAGTATTCCTAAGGTGATTTAGAGATATTTTTGTCTTGACTTTAAGTGAATTCAATGTGAACACCAATGCAAAGGATGAGTCAGGATGGCTAAGGGCAGATTGATGACATAACACTACATCAGGAGCTATATACATCTTTGTAACAAAATTATTTCTGGATTGCGTAATTTCTGGCTTCTGTGCCAACATTTCTATAGAAGGAAGGTTAACAATTGCCTTCTACCATGGCTGAAAAGTTATTCAATCCGTGTACAAATTGTTCCACCAAAATTAACATCATTGAGCTTTCAACTGATGAAAATAAAATATGGCAAGAAGGCTGCCTACACTGAATAATTGCTGAGGTTAGAAGTTCTTCCTTCCCAAATGTGTTGCATCTGAACCAGTCCCCTATGGGACTAATTGTTCTGTTACATTTCTGATCCCAGGATCAGAGCACCCATCAGGATATAATGAATATATGGCTTAGAGATAGGAAAATTAATAAAGATAACATGTTACTGTCCTTTTTTCTTTTTTTTTATCCTCACCCAAGGACATTTTTCCATTTTTTGTTCAGATAGAGTGGGAGGGAGAGAGAGAGAGAAACATCGACGTGAAAGGGACACATCGAGTGGCTACCACCCGCACGACCAACCAGGGCCGGGGACAAACTGCAACCGAGGTACGTGCCTTTAGCGGGAACCGAACCCAGGTCTCTAGACCACAGGCCGATGTTCTAACCACTGAGCAAAACTGGCCAGGGCCGTTACTGTCCTTTTCATGTAGTTTCCACCACCCAATCTGTATTAACATGAAGGATTTCTTGTCAAGAGGTTTCAACTGGAACTGAGTTTAAGCATTCAGAAAAAAACAAAACCCCAAAGATTGTAGAAATACTGCAGTAGGACTCAACCTTGGAACATAATGAACCCAAAAATTGAGTTTAGGTAAAAGGCCATAACTGGATAGTTTTAAATTCTAGGAAATCGTTAAGTTGGAATGATCCAGAGATATGTTCCAGAGTTCCAAAATTGTTATCCAGGCTCAGATATTAGGAGGAGGGGGGATTTATTTAGTTATTTGAGAATAACTGCAATTTTATATTCTTCCATGTAGATGGCATTAGTCCTATTTTTGGCTGACTAAAAACACATTTTTTAGAGAAGCTGTCATTCTACTTCCTTGATATTAAAGCCAAATTCTTGAGATTAAAGAATAAAGATCAAATAAGGATTAAATTATAAGCACTGGGGACTATAATATTTTTTGCAATGTGATCCTTTCCTTTACCCGAATCCTGACTAATTGGTTGGTAAAATGTAAATGGTAACTCTTGGAGAAAGCAACCACATTAGCTTAAGAAAGAAAAGACCAGACATGGACAGATTTAGGAAGAAATATTTTTTTTCTGTTTAAATCAGAGAAAAGATAGACCCTCACCCAGTGTTTGAAACTTAGGTTTGAATGAGCTCCAAAATGTCTCATTGTCACTGCCCCCGCCTCACACCTGCTCTGGTCAATAGCTTCAGTTTCTATCTCTCTACTAGATTCATTCTCTCTCTCTCTCTCTCTCTCTCTCTCTCTCTTTCACACACTCTCTCTCTCATTCTCTCCCTCACACACACACTCTCTCTCTCTCAATAATAGTCCTTCTAAATCTCCCCCTTTCGAGCACTACTCGATGTCCTTTGTCACGTCTTGAAAGGTAAGGTGGCACTTGTTGCTTACTTCCTCATCTCCCATTCATTCCTCTGCCCTCTTGAGTCTGGCTTCAGCGCCCACCACTCATTGGAAACCACTGTCATTGAGGTCACTAATAACTCCCAATTAGCAAAAACATCGATTTTTAAAAGACATTATTCATGTGCCATACAATTCCCTCTAGTACACTGCAATGCCTCTTAATACATTCACAGTTGAGCAGATATCACTATAATTAATCTTAAGACATTTTCACCATCCCCCAAAGAAACTTCATACTCATTAGCAGATTATATTGAATGTGTAGATCTATTTGGGGAATATTACCATCTCAATTTTAAGTCTGTTCATGAACATGGGATGTCTCAGAGGTTCACTTTTAGTTTTTGTCTTACTTGAGCTTTCTCAGCATTTGCACAGATCACTCTCTTGAAGTTATTTCTCTTTTGACTTTAGTGACATCACTTTTCTGGGTTCTCTTCATACTTCTCAGAGCACCCCTCACGAAAGACTCCAACTTGCCCAGTAGTTTAATTCCTTTTGTTTTGTGTATCCTTTAAATCTTGTTGTTAGTCCGGGTTCTGTTTTTCACCCTTCCAAGTTCTCACTCCTTTTCTTACTCCTCAGTATGCTCATTCTCTCAAAGAACATGCAACTACCACACACAGGCCGCGGTTTCCAGTCTGGGGTTTGGCCCCATCTTTTCTGGCTCCAGGTCTTTATCTCGACTTTCAAGTGGAATCTTCACTTGGATATATCAGTGTGATCTCAGATTCAAAGTAAAAGTATTCATCGATAGCCTCTCCAAATCTGATTCATACCTTGCACTGTATATAAAAGTTAACTTAAATGAATGATAGACCTAAATGGATAATCTGTAAATATAAAACTTTTAGAAGAAAACATAGGAGAAATTCTTTGTGGGTTTGGGTTACACAATGTGTTATTTGTTTTTGTTTTTTAGCTGTAGCATCGAAGGTGTACTCTCCAAGTAGGAAAACTTGATAAATTGGACTTGATGAAAATTAAAAACTTTTACAATTTGAAAGACATTGTTAGGAGAATGGAAAGACAAGTCACAGGCTGGGAGAAAATATTTGCAAATCTTATGTCTGATAAAGACAGAACATATAAAGAACTCTTAAAGCTCAATAAGGAAAAAAAACACAATAAAAATGGGCAAATAATTTGAATAGTCACTTCACTAAAGAAGCTACATAGATAGCAAGTAAGTACACAAAAAGATTCTTGACAAAATTGGTCATTAAGGAAATGAAAATGAAAATCAAATTAGAATGGCTAAATTTAAAAAGATAGACCATATCGAGTGCTGGTTAGCCTGTGGAGCAAGCAGAACTC